ATATATATATATATATATAAACATATATATATATATATATATATATATAGACATAGACATAGACATATATATATATATAAACACATAGACATCCATACATATATAATATAAATAATAAATATTAAACAATAAACAATAAATATTGTTATTGATTACTTTGATATTTTTAGTGCTTTCGAATCCGTCGAGTTGATTGAGCAGCTCCATCATAGTGCGTTGGACTTCAGAGTCTCCATGCTCTCCTTCAGTTCTTTGCGAGCCTATAGAGTCTATCTCGTCCATGAAGATAATAGAAGGTGCATGCTGTCTCGCTAGAACGAATAGCTCTCTCACCATCCGGCTTCCTTCACCTATATACTTCTGTACTAACTCCCCTCCTGATACCCTTATAAACGTGCACTCTGTATGATGAGCTACTGCACGAGCTAGTAATGTCTTTCCTGTACCCGGCGGCCCATAGAGTAATACACCCTATATATATATTTATATTTGTATATGCAAACAAACAAACAAACAAACAAACAAACAGACGCATCAGCTTATTCGCTTCGTTTTTCTTATTTTGTTGTTTTGTTGTTTTGTTGTTTTGTGCATTGGTCGGATTAAAAGATATTAAAATGTTAAAAAAATAATTAATTAAAGATGTTTAACAACAAACAAATCTACAACATTCACATATCAACAAATCAATCAACAAATAAATAGATAGATATGCATATATACATACATATATACATATACATATATATATATATATGTATATATATATAAGCATAATTCATACATATATATGTCATATATGTCTCATGCATAGATGCATATATATATTTATATATATATTTGTTTATTTATTTATTTATATTATATATCCCATACATATATATCATATGTTCCTCATATATACATACATGATATATACAAATAAATATATATAAAGTATATATATATATATATATATATTATATATATTATATATATTATATATATAATATAGAAGGGTTTAAGCTTGCCTTGGGTTGTGAGATACCGAGGGATTCAAAGAGTTCAGGATGTTTGATAGGGAGCTCGATGACTTCTTTAACTTCTTTGATTTGTTGTTCTAAGCCTCCGACCATCTCGTAAGTACTGTCTGGTACCTTCTCTACCTTCATTAGAGAGACTAAAGGGTCTACCTTTGAAGGCAGAATAGAATGCAATCGATAAGAATCGTTTAATAAACCGACTCGGCTGTTCGGTGTACACTTCGATATGTCTATGTTCTTTGCTACATCCACGACGTACTTCCCCTCCGGTGTAACCTAAACAAACAAACAACAACAAATTATGATAAATAATAATAATAATAAATAATAATAATAAATAATAATATAATAATAATAATAAATAATAGTAATAATGACAATAATGATAATAATAATAGGAACAGTAATAACAAACAAGAAAAAATAATAAATAATAATAAATAATAAATGATGATGATGATGATGATGATGCTAATAATAATAATAGTAATAATAATAATAATAATAATAATAATAATAATAATAATAATAATAATAGTAATAATAATAATAATAGTAATAATAATAATAATAATAATAATAATAATAATAATAATAATAATAATAATAATAATAATAATAATAACGCATGCATGTAATAACTGATTTATGCAGAAGACAACGTCTCTCGCTTTCGCTGTCTCCTTCTGTCTCCGTCTCTCTGTTTGTTTGTTTGATTGTCTGTTGGGGCTTATCATCTGTCTGTCTCCTTGTCCTATTTGAGCTTCATTCTTTCTTTATTTGTCTCTGTCTTCTTGTATCTCTCTCTGTCTCTCCGTCTCCTCTGTCTGTCTCCTTGTCTATTTCTGGCTCTGTCTCTATCTGTCTCCTCTCTATCTGTCTCCTCTCTATCTGTCTCCTCGTCTATATCTGTCTCCTCTCTATCTGTCTCCTCTCTATCTGTCTCCTCGTCTATATCTGTCTCTGTCTCTGTCTCCTTTCTGTCTGTCTCCTCGTCCATATCTGTCTCTGTCTCTGTCTCCTTTCTGTCTGTCTCTTTGTTTATATCTGTCTCCTTTCTGTCTGTCTCCTTGTTTATATTTGTCTCTGTCTCTGTCTCTATCTGTCCCCTTTCTGTTTATCTTTATTTAGAGTTGCGGATTTCTATTTGATAATATCAGTGCGAGACAAATACAGAAAAGGAGACAGAAAAATGAAGACAGGATTAAATATAACAAAAAGGAGACAGAGAGACAGACAGAGACAACGAGGAGGAGACAGAGTAAATAAATAAAGACTGAAGCAGAAAAGATAGCTAAATAAAACAAACAGAGACAGAGACATACAAAGACACAGAGAGAGACAGAGACAGAGACAGAAATAAAGAAATAAGAGAGAGACAGATAGATAGACAGACAGAAGCAGCAGAGAGAGACAGAGAGAGAGACAAGGGGAGAGAGACAACTACTAGAGACAAAGAGACTGCATAAAAAAAGAGACAGACAACGAGACAGAAGAAGAGACAGAAAAAGCTACAAACAAAGCATGCAAACACGCAAACAAAGAAGCAGATGAAGGAGGGTAGGGTGTATAGACAGCAGATAAAGATTGTCTTGGTAGGGTGTATAGACAGCAGACAAACAATAACTTGTCTCCTTCCTCACCTTTACAAGCACTTTATCTCTACCCATCACCTTCACGACTTCACCTACATAAGACCCTGGCTCGAGCAGCAATTGAATTTCTTCTCTTAGTTCTCGCACTGTACGTACACCCCAACAAGACCTCAGCAGCAGACATGCAGCAGATGCCTATCTTCACATACAGCAATAAAATAAACTTATACAGCCCGCAATATCTCTCTCATCCCTTCACTTCTCAATTACTACTAAGCTGTAAACAGCAACAAATCCAAATAACAAACAACAGCCTATTCTGCTGTTCTCCTCTCGCTGCAGAGATGCATACCCTCCTAAACAAATTCAGACCCGTCGTATCAGCAGCAATAACAGCAGCAGCAGCAGCAGCAGCAACAGCAGCAACAGGGGTATTTCGCTGGGTTGTCTAACCCTTTGCGTTGAACTCATTTCTCTGAGCCTCCAGCCTTTGTTTGTTTTGCGTCTTCTCAGCTATTGTACGCTCCAGCTGTTCCACCTTTGACTCTAAATAGCGTCGAAGACCCTCGCCGTTATTCTCGTTATTTAGCTGCTGCGGCACATCCCCGGCTGCAGCAGCAGCACCGGCAGCAGCAGCAGCACCATTAGCTGCTGCTCCAACCGGCTGCATAGCCACGTCAACACTCATTACTGCTGAGGTGGGGGGGCGCGAAGAAGACTCCGCTGTGTGTAGGCCAAGGAAAAACTAAGAATAGCCCTACGCCTCTGCTGAGCAACACGCAGCAACTTGCATGCAGCCCCAGTGCCTGCAGCAGAGGCGGAAAGGCGCGAACAATTCACCCGCCAAGTCTGCTGTAGCTGCACTGGCGCAGGAGCTGCGCTGCATGCACACGGGTCAAGATGAGAGGTAGTAGCAGCTGAAGCCGCCTATAGAATAGAAGGCACAGAAGAAGCTGCTGCCGGTACACCCGAAGGCCGAACAGCCACCAGACAGAAGAGGGAGGAGAGGCGACCCTGTGCAAAAGAGAAGAGCCAGAGAAAGTGCAAAAGTAAAAGGAAGAAAACGTCGGTAGACACTTGAATGCTGGGGGCTGCTGATGCAGGGAGCTCACCCCAGGTTAGGCGCCTGCAAGGGCTGTGTGTTTATACAGTTGTTTTGTTTTCTTTGAATGGATTACAGGAGAAATATCCTTCTTATAAAGACCCTAATGGTGCTGAAACAACTCCCGTTCAAGGGGAGCCCCAATACTTAACACGTTGCATGTGTTCCAAACAGCGGCGCCGTCATGAAACGCCAGGGTGTAGTAGTAGGCTGCCGGGTGTAGGAGTTGCGGACTGTTTGGCTGTTGATCTATTTCCAGAAATAAAGTGATAAGAAGAAAAATAATTCGTTTACTCAAGAATTACCTATTTCCATATTCAGAAGCCTCGGGGGGAGTCCGCTGGCTTCTGTTTTGTATGTCTTTGCGTTTCTGTACAGCCGTGCGTGGCAGAGCAAGGACGGCGGAGGTCTGTTGAGGAGTATTTCATGAATAAAATCGAATTTCTTTTGAATAAATAGGGTCTATTTCTTCTCTTTTCCCTATTTTTCCAGGAGATCGGCAGCATGACGCAGCTTGTCTCGCATTTCGAGACCTTCCACACCGGCCCCCTCCATGCCGTTTCGTTTGACTTGTACGGCACTAAAGTTGCAACAGCCAGCAGCGACGAGTCCATTCGCCTTTGGGATGTCTCAGCAGAATCTGGAGGCGCTCAGTTTATTCAGGAACTCCGCGGTCACAACGGCCCTGTCTGGCAGGTGAGCAGCGACGGCTTTCGCGCGGCGCGCTGCCTGTGTATCGTGCAAGAATTTAAGAACCAACTTGCAGCTCTGCATGCATTTGTTGTGTCTACGTGCATCTCTGGATTTCTCGCGTTGTTCCTCCTCGGGAGCCGTTTCTCTTAGCTGTGTTCCATAGGCTCCACGAGCTACCTGCAATAAGACGCATGTTTCTATAGCGGATAATTGACTGCATGCATGCCTATTTGCCTGCACATATGCGTAGTAAGTGTGTATGAATATTATAAATATGCATAATATGCATGCATGCAGATTATGCGTGCATGCATATCATATTCTGTGCATATGCGTGTGCCTAGAAGAAGATTCATGAATGCATGCATGTATGCTTGCATTTGTTTGCATTATATCGTTGTTTCCTTTTGTATCTCATTCAATAACTGCTTCTATTAGTGTTTTTTATGCATATTCTTTTCAGGTCTGCTGGGCCCACCCCCGCTTTGGACAGGTGTTAGGGTCTTGCGGCTATGATCGCCGAGTTGTGGTCTGGGAGAGGCAGGAACGAGATCAGGGTTTTACTGCAGTATATTCAAATGATGAACATTCAGCGTCTGTGAATACTCTGGCATTTGCACCAGAGAGCGCGGGGCTGGTGCTGGCTGCAGGCAGCAGCGACGGCACTATCTCAATCCTTTCGCATGCAGAGGGGGCCCCACAGCAGTGGAGTCGTCAAGCTTTTTCTGCGCACTTCAACGGAGTACTAGCCCTTTCTTGGGCCCCCATTGGGGCCCTCTCAGCCTCCATTGAAGGCAAACCAAATGGCTTGCTGCTGGCTTCAGGAGGAGCAGACAACCGTGTCCGCCTCTGGGAGTGCGACCCTTCAAAGGCAAGGCACATAGTAACAGCATTATAACACACAAACAATACAATATAAACAACACCCCACAACAGCTGAAGTCGCGTGGGGCTGCGAGTGCATGCGTTTAAATAAAGAGGCGAACTGTGCGTGCAGCATCATCGAGTCTGCATCTTAATGCATGCATGCATGCATGCATGCATTCGGTCTACACAACTCAGTCTGGGGAATGTGTGGATGCTGCAGCTGTGTGGTGGTATTGCCCTTAGTGTTCGTGCGGTGTATGCGCTGTTTTGTTCTCTATATGCATGCGCTGCATGCAGCATGTGTGCATGCGTATGTATGTGTGTGTTTGGTGTTGCTGGGGCTGCAGCAGTGGATTGAGTTGCCGCCCATGGCGGGGGAGCCGCACTCTGACTGGGTGCGAGATGTAGCGTTTAGGCCTCAAGGGGCTTCTTCTTTTGTTGTTCCCGGGGCCTTGCTGCTGGCCTCCTGCAGCGAAGACAAGACAGTTAAGCTGTGGATAGGCGAGCCCCCCGCGCAGCAGCAGCAGCAGCAGCAGCAGCAGCAGCAGCAGGATACCCTGGTGAGCCCAGCGCCGTCGCAGTACAAGTGGCGCTTGCTGCAGACCCTCGTCTTCGATGCCCCTGCCTGGAGGGTTAATTGGAGCAGCAGCGGGGCCCTCTTAGCTGTTGCATGCGGCGAGTCTGCAGTGCTGCTGCTGAAGGAGAATATGCATGGTAACTGGGAGCTCGTAACAGACTTGGCAGAGAAAGCGGCACTGCAGCAGCAACAGCAGCAGCAGCAGCAGCAGCAGCAGCAGCAACAGCAGCAGCAGCAGCAACAGCAGCAGCAACAGCTGCAGCAGCAGCAACAGCAGCAGATGCCACAGTTTCAGCAGCAGGTACCGCAACTGCAACAGATGAATATGCAGCAACAGCCCACGCAGCAGCAGCTCATACAGCAGCAGCAGCAGCCAATGATGCAGCAGCAGCCACCGTTGCGTCAACAGCAACCTCTCCAGCAGCAGCCCCCGCAGCAGCCTCCGCCGCAGCAACCGCAGCAGGCCCCTCCGCTCCCTCACGCCTTCGGTCTTCCCCCTCCGCAGCAGCAGCAGCAGCAGCAGCCAACCCCACAGGTGGGCCCTATGGGTTCCATGCCGCCTATGGGGGCCTCTGCGGCGCCTGCGGGTATGGGGGCCCCCCCCCTTGGGGGCCCCAGCCCAGTGGGGGGTGTGCGGCCGCCCCCAATGATGCCAGCAGCAGCAGGACTGCAGCAGCAGCAGCCTGGAGGGGTGCAGCAGCAGCCACCTATGCAGCAGCAGCCTGTGCAACAGCAGCAACAGCAACCTGTGCAGCAGCAGCAGCAGCCTATGCAGCAGCAACCGCAGCCCGTTTTGCAGCAGCAACCTGTGCAGCATCAGCCTACACCAGGCAGTGGTTTCATGCCCCCAACTTCTATGCAGCAGCAGCAGCAGCAGCAGCAGCAGCCAGGAGGCCGGCTGCCGATGCCTCCCCCAGCGGGTGGTGCTTTGAGTGCTGCTGCTGCTGCTCCTGCTCCGTCAGCTTCTCCTGCAGCCCCACAGCCTTTCCTTGCGCCTAGTGCTGCTCCTCCTCTTCCTCGTGGAGGGGCCTTTGGGGCCCCCCCGCTGCCGCCTCAGAGCGCAGGGTTTGCTCCTCAGGGGGCCCCCCCTATGAGGGCCCCCATGCCGCCTCCCATGGGCCCCTCAGGGTACTGAAGAGGCCCTTTAGGGGCCCTTTAAGGTGCATATGAGGCCCTTTAGGGTACTGAAGGGGCCCCCTCAGGGGCCCCTCAGGGGCTTCCTCTGGGGCCTCCTCAGGGGACCCTCAGGGTACTGAAGAGGCCCTTTATGGTGTATAGCTGGCTCTTAAGGGTACTGAAGGGGCCCCTTCAGGGGCCCCTCAGGGTACTGAGGAGGCCCTTTAGGTTACAGAAGGGGCCCACTCAGGGGCCCCTCAGGGTACTGTATAGGCCTTTGCATAGCTGCGCAGCGAAGGTGTTTGCGGTTGTTATAGGGGTGGCGTGGGGCCCTCCTTTAGTGCTGCTGCTGCGTGCAGCAGCCGCGACAAACAAACCTTTTGCAAAGAGAAGCAGAAAGACAGATAATTAGAGCGCAGAGTAAAGAGAGAGTAATTAAGATAAGGAAGTAGGGGTAGGTAGCGGGTGTATAGACAGCTAGCTGAGAGACAGAAGGCCAAAGGCAGAGAGGCAAATGCAAACACTAAATAAAGAGCACAGGGGTTATAGAGAAAGAGACAGAGATAAGAGAATAGAGAGAAGCCCTCACGGCCCCTCATGCATAGCACGCAAGCTTTCGGTGTACGTACACCTCAGCAGAAGCAGCGCTAAAGTGTGCGATCTCCATAGAGCCTTCTGCTCTTGCCTCCAAACTGGCGCACAGATGCCTCCTCAGGATCTCCGCATGCATGCATGCATGCATGCATGCATGCATGCATGCATGCGGCGTAAGAGCAGCGGCTGCTCGCGAGGGGGCTAGGCTGCTGCATGCATGCACTCTGCATGCAGCCTCAAAGCATCAGCGCCCGCAGCCTCTTTGCCGGGCTAAGCGCGGGGCTGCATGCAGCATGCAAGGCCCCTAAGGGCGTCTGTGCTCGTCTGGTGCGTCTTCTATACTATCTAGAGGCAGCAGCAGCAGAAGCAAACGACTACACAATATGCAGCAGCAGAAGCACATCTCTACTAAAGAGGTAGCAGCAGGGGCAGCAAAGACCTGCAGCGCGGTCTCCGCATGCAAAGCAAGAGAATCTAATTGAGGCCCTGAGCCTCCTCCCGTTTAAATATAACTGGCTTCGGCGCACAAGACGCGCAGCAGCAGCTACAGCAGCAGCAACAGCAAAAGCAGCAGCAACAGCAGCAGCAAACAGCAGCAGCATCAACGCCAGTTAGTATAATATGCGGCATAGGGGCTTCAAAAGGAGTCACAAGCAAAAGAAAAAAGATGCGTAAAGCAATACGGAGACAAACAAACCCAACAAAGACCTGCGCCTCGTTGCATGCGTTCTATGGCGAAGTCTTCTTCATATATTATATACCTATATATACACAATATATACATATATACATATAATATATATATAGATATATATATATATATATATACATATATACATACATATACATACATACATATACATACATATATATATGCATACATAAATATACATACATAAATATATATATATATATATATATTTATATATACATTTATAAACAAATTCGGCCTATATTGCTTATTCTATTAACACGCACGAGGTGTATAATATATGTGCGCCACTAAACACAGGGGGCAGCAGTGCTGCAGCAGTGCTCAGCCCCACGTAAACAAATGCATTTCTCTATTCTTTCATGCATGCATTCCCTGCTGCTGCATGCATGCACTCCCTGCTGCTGCTTGCATGCACTCCCTGCTACTGCATGCAGGCAGCCCTTGCTACTGCATGGAAGCAGCCCCTGCTGCTGCATGCATGCACTCCCTGCTGCTGCATGCATGCATTCCCTGCTACTGCATGCGTGCAACTCCTACTGCTGCTTGCATGCAGGTCTTGCTGCTGCATGCATGCAATCCCTGCTACTGCATGCAGGCAGCCCCTGCTGCTGCTTGCATGCACTCCCTGCTACTGCATGCATGCAGTTCTTGCTGCTGCTTGCATGCACTCCCTGCTGCTGTATGCATGCAGCCCCACGCGCAGAGTGCGTGGAGTCCCCATTTCTGCATGCACTCCCTGCTGCTGCATGCATGCAATCTCTGCTGCTGCACGCATGCAATCCGTGCTGCTGTCTGCATGCAATCCCTGCTGCTGCATGCATGCAATCTCTGCTGCTGCATGCATGCGTTGCTTGCACGGGGCTGCTCAGCTGCCTACAGGATACTCTGAGGGCTCCTTATGACCCCCCATCCACGACCCAGCCCCTGCCTTCTCTGTTGATATGCACGGCACACAAGAAGGCCGCCGCTGCCGTCCTGCTGCTGCTGCTGCTGCTGCTGCCGCTGCTGCTGCTGCTCCTGCTGACGCACCCGGGGAACGGTAAGAGGAAAGGCTCGAGCCGCAAGAAGACGAACTGAATACATGCAGCAGCAGCAGCAGCAGCAGCAGCAGCAGCTACAGCAGCAAACGCTTAGCGTCAACAACGCAAATAACAGCTGAATAGGAAGCAGCAGCAGCAATAGCAGCACCAGCAGAACCACAAGCAGCAGCCGCGGCACAAGACACAGCTGCAACACTACTAGCAGCAGCAGCACAAGCAGCAGCAGCACAAGCAGCTGCAACAGAAGAGGCAGCAAGTGCAGCGGGCCTCACCTTCGACTTGTGTCTAAAGAAGAGGTAGGAGACACAGCCAATCCAGCAGGCGCATTTGCAGCAGCAACAGCAGCCGTTGCTGCTGCTGCTGCTGTTTGAGAAGAGTTAAGGGAACAGTCTGCGAGAGGGGGCGGGCGTGCCGCTGGCTGCTGCTGCTGCTGCTGCTGCTGCTCGGAGCTCTGCGGCCCCTGTGGCTGTGAGAATGCTGCTGCTGGTGCTGTTGCTGATGCTGCTGTTTCTGCTGCTGTGTCTGGCAGGGTGCTGCTGCTGCTGCTGTTGCCTTTCACCCACTCGGAGTGATCCCTTAGCTCTGCTGAATACAGGCTATGCTGCTGCTCTTGCTGCTGCTGCTGCTGCTGCTGCTGCTGCATGTGGAGAGGCGTCTTACATGTGGAGGCGTCCGCCGGCCCCCAAGACAGAGATGGTGCAGCAGCTGCTGCTGCTTCACTTGTGTTTGCTGCTGTTGCTACTTCTGCTGCAGCCCAGGGCAGCTGCTGCTGCGTCGCGAGTCGGTGCGTGGGGCTTCCAACTGCTGTGTTTTGATGCTGCTGAAGCTGCTGCTGCTGCTGCTGCTGCTGCAGCACCTCTAGCTGCTGCAGTAGGTGTCGGTTCTGCTGCTGCAGCCGCTCGTTCTCCCTTAGTACACAGTCGAGTTGTTGCTGCTCCTGCTGCTGCTGTTGTTGCTGCGAGTGCTGCTCCTGCTGCTGTCTGTGTACTGCAGCGGTTGTTGCTGCAGTGTCTTTGTTCTGCTCCTGCTGCTGTTGCTGCTGCTGATCTTCGTTAAGGTGGTGCTGCAGCAGCAGCTGCAGCTTTAGATGAAGGAAGCCTGCAAAGACTAGTAGCTGCTCTACAGCGTCTGTGTTGCTGCAGCTGCAGTCTGCTGCTGCTGCTGCTGCTGCTGCTGTTGCTGTTGCTGCTTTGTGTTTAGCTTCGAATGCGGAGATTGTTGCAGCCATGCGGCTGCAGATACACCGCAGATCTGCTGCTAATTGCATGCGCTGCTCTTCTGCTACCTTCAGCCGCTGCCGTGTGGTGTACAGACAGTCCGAAAGAGTTTTGTTGCTCTTAGCAACAGCAATTAACTCGCGCTGCAGGTCCTGCAGCGCAGCTGCTAGCGGCTGCAGCAAGCCAGCACCAGCAGCAGCACAAGCAGCAAAAGGAAGTAGCGAGAATACACCCCACGCAAACAATCACATGCACGTACACCGCAGGCATCCAACAAAAGTACTCGCAACCCCAACCACGGCAGCAGCAGCGAAAGTAGCAGCAAGAGCAGCAGCAGCAGAAGCACGAACGATTGTGGTAGGGCTCTGCTAAGGCTCTGGCCGCACACTTGATGCTGATATTGCTGCTGTCGCAAGCACTGCGGTTGTTCTTGTTGCTGCTGCTGCCGCTGCTACTGTTGCTGCTGCTGTTGCTGCTGCTGCAAGGCTCACCTGATTGGCTTGCTTGCATTCAGTCGAAGCAGAGGGCACCCCCAGTTTGTCTGTCCCCTTTGGAGGAGCTGCATCTGCCCTGGGCTGCGGCTCCATCTTGCTGCTGCTGTTGCTGCTGCTGCTGTTGCTGCTGCACCTGTTGCTGCTGCTCCTGTTGCTCTAATGCTGCTGCGGCTCGAAATGCTGCCGCTGCTCTAGCTGCTGCGCTTAACGCTGCTGCTGCTCTAGCTGCTGCGCTTAATGCTGCCGCTGCTCTTACTGCTACTGCTCTTGCTGCTGCTGCCGCTGCTGCTGCTGCCGCTGCTGCTGCTGCCGCTGCTGCTGCTGCTGTATTTACACGTGAGGCTGCGGCCTTCGCTCGCTGGCTTCCCGCTGTCTTTATTTGTAACTAAAGAAGCGCATGCAACCCCGCAGAGTTTTCAATTCAATGAAACTCAGGGTCTCAGCAGCAGAAGGTGCTGCTGCTGCTGCGGCGGCTGACAGTTCCGCTTTGACTGGAGTGGGCTGCTGCTGCCGCTGCTGCTGCTGCTGCTGCTGCTGGAGGCGGCCTCGCTTCGTTTATGAGGAGGTAGGCGGTAATTGACTAAAATCAACAAAAAGGAGGGCAGAGACAACCCCAGAAACTCCTGTCTGCAGCAGCAGCAGCAGCAGCAGCAGCAGCAGCAGCACGCAGGGGCCTGGGGTTGTGCTGCTGCTGCAACACCCGGTGGATCTCAGCACCGAAAGGTGCAGCACATTTCAATTTTGCAAAAAGAAGAAAATAAATAATTAATATTTTCCTCTCGTAGCCATCAAAGAGCACCCAGAGCAGTAGCAGCAGCAGCAACAGTAGTTGCAGCAACAGCAGCAGCAGCAGCAGCAGCAGCAGGTTTCGAGGCCTTAGCGGCGCGGCCGAGCAGCCGCCTCCATACTAATTAAGGCCTGTGTTTATTTGTATTTGTATATTTATTTTCTGTCTTTGTCTATCTTCTTGTTCAAAGATATATTTATATACTTATACACATAGCCCATTGCTCCTCGCCCCCCAGCAGCGCGTGTGTCTGCTGCTACTGCTGCTGCTGCTCGTCCCGCTGCTGCTGCTGCTGCTGCTGCTGCTGCTGCTGCTACAGGCTTCGCAAGGGCGGGCGCTGCACATGGCCCGAAGAAGACCTGTCTTCTCTTTCAATATTGGCTGCTGCATAGTTAACAACAGCAGCAACAGCAGCAGCAGCAGCAACAGCACTAGCAGCAGCAGCAACAACAACACTAGCAGCAGCAGCAGCAGCAGCAGCAAGGGTTTCGTGTTGCAGGAAGATGCAGTCCGTTCGGGAGCTCGTGGCGGACGTCTGTCCGCTGTTTGAAGACATCTGCAGAACCATCAGCAGCAGCAGCAGCAGCAGCAGCAGCAGCGCTGTCTCAGACAGCGCTGCAGACACGAACACAATCAGCAGCAGCAGCAGCAACAGCAGCAGCAGCAGCACTTCGGGTGTATTGTTTCTCGGGTCTGGGGGCTCTGCTTCAATCCCGCAGCTAAACCACCTGCTCCCTCTCTGCTCTCCTTCTCATCCCTATTACAGCACAGCCAAGAGAGAGACCCCGCTGCTGCCTCGTGAAGAGCTGCAGCAGCAAGCTGTTGCTTATAAACAATACCTCAAACAGAAAGAGCAGCAGCAGCAGCAGCAGCAGCAGCAGCAACAGCAGCAGCAGCAAGTGAATGGCCACAACACCGCCAGTGGCAGCACTCTCCCGCAGCACGCCTCACCAGCAACAGCAGCAGAAGAAGAAGAAGCAGCAGCAGCAGCAGCAGCAGCAGTAGCAGGATTAAGAGGTCGTGAGCTGGAGATAGCTGCTCGTGATGCACGAGAAGCAGCTTGCTCTACTTGTTTAAATGCATTCTTATACCCTCAAGGCCGCAACAGACGAAGAAATATTTGTTTGCTGCTGCACCTCGAAGGCAAGCGCATCCTCATTGACTGCGGGAAGACGATCAGAGACTCTCTACTCGCATTTGCATGCGCATTTAATGTACGCAATATCCTGCTGCTGCTGCTGCTGCTGCTGCTGCTGGCGGTGCTGCTGCTGGTGGTGATGCTGCTGGTGGTGATGCTGCTGCGGGGTGCTGCGTAGGCAGCATCCTGATGCTGCTTCTGCTGCTGCTGCTGCTGTTGTTTGTGCTGTGGGGTGGTGGTGCTGCTGCTGTCGCTGCTGCTGCTTCTGCTGTTGCTATCGCTGGGGATGCTAGTGCTGTAGCTGCTACTGCTGCAGCTACCCTTCCTTCCTGCTGCTGCCGTTGCTGTTTCTGCTTGTGAGATAGCCCTCTATCTGGTGCTGCTGCTGCTGTTGCAGCTAGTGTGTGAGACTATTCTCGCTGCTGCTGCTGCTGCTAACGTGTGAAATGATCCTCCCCGCTGTTGCTGCTTCTGCTGCTGCTGCTGCTGCTGCTGTTGCTGTTGCTGCTTCTGCTGCTGCTGATGCTGCTGCTGTTGCTGCTGCTGCTGCTGCTGTTGCTGCTGCAGCTGAGCTGCGTAGACGCAGTATTTTTAACTCATGACCACATCGACGCGATTGGGGGTTTGGACGACTTGAGGGATTTGCAGCCGTTTCAGAGGGTTTCTTTTGAAGCCCCAGCAGCAGCAGCAGCAGCAGCAGCAACAGCAGCAGCAGCAGCACAGAGGGGAGACTGCAGGTGGTATACACCCAAACGCTGGCTTTGCTGCTTCTGTGGGGCGCGAACATTTGCTTCCGTCTCCCGCTGCTACTCTTATCTTGTCAGGCCTTACATTGAGCGCTGCTGCTTGAGCAGCAGCAACTCCCTAACAGCAGCAGCAGCTGCTGCTGCTGCAGCAGCGGAAGTAATGGCAGCAGAAACGGGAGCAGGATTAGCAGAAGCAGCAGCAGCAGGCGCAGAAGCAGCAGCAGGCATAGAAGCAGCAGCAGGCGCAGAAGCAGCAGCAGGAGGACCAGCAGCAGCAGCAGCAGCAGCAGCAGCAGCAGCAGCAGCAGAGTGCATTGTAGCCCAGACTAAGGATGGCGAGTTTGCAATAACAAATAAACTGCGGCTGCTGCTGAAGCGGAAGGTAGCCTGCGTAGAGTTTCGTGTTCTTAATGATGAAGTGTTTGCTGCTGCTCCAGGGTGTACAGATGGTGCTGGTGCTGCTGCAGTTGCTGCTGCTGCTGCTGCTGCTGCAGACAGAGCGAGGGAAGCGCTGCAAACTGCTGCTGCTGTCACACAAGGCAACTCCTTTTCAGCAGCAAAAGATGCCCAAGCAGCAGCAGCAGCAACACCAGCAGCAGCAGCAGCAGCAGCAGCAGCAAACATACCCGTTAGTGTAGAGCCCATAGACGGTTGGGGCTTCACAAGGCTGCAAATACCGGGTGAGGAGACAAGAAGCCTTTTTTCTTTGCTGCTGCTGCTGCTTTTGCTGCTGCTGCTGCTGCTGCTTCACTTGCTGCTACTTCTGCATTTGCTGCTGCTGCACTTGATGCCTCTACAGCAGTTGCTGTTGCTGCTGCACTTGATGCCTCTACAGCAGTTGCTGTTGCTGCTGCAGTTCCTGCTGCTATTTCTGGCCTTGCTGCTGGTGACGTCGCTGCTGCTGCTGCTGCTGCTGCTGCTGCTGCTGTTGCTGTTGCTGCTGCAGCAAGACTTGCTGCTGCTCATATGTGTATTGTTGTTGATTGTTGCTGTGCATGCATGTGCGTTTGTGTATTGTTCAGGTGTACGTACACCTGTCTTTTCTTTTCCTGTTTATCACGGAGGTGTTTACGTTTGTCTTGGGTTTATGTCTTTGGGTCAAGAGCCGTTTCTGCTGCTGTCAGACGTTACGCAGATCCCCCCACTCGTGCTGCAGCGACTTCTGCAACTCCCCAGGCCAGAGGTGCTGCTGCTGCTGCTGCTGCTGCTGCTGCTGCTGTTGATGGTGCTGTTGCTGCTGCTGTTGATGGTGCTGCTGCTGTTGATGGTGGTGTTGCTGCTGCTGTTGATGGTGTTGTTGCTGATGCTGTTGCTGTTGCGGCTGCTATTGCTTTTCCAGCTGCAGTTGCTGCTGCTGCTGTTGCTGCTGCCTCTACTGTTGTTGCTGTTTGTGCTGCTTTTGTTGCTGCATTTTGCTGTGGGTGTTTGAGTTCTGTTTGCTCCGTTGAGGTGTATGCACAGCTACATTGTTTTGCTGTTTGTTTGGGGTGTATGGGGAGGTATATTGGGGTGTATATGCAGCTCTATTATTTCTCTCCTTTTGTCTTGTTCATGTGTACGTGTTGATATTACCTTTCGTTTATTTCTGCCTTGGGGTGTATATGCAGATTATTTTTGTTATACCCTGCCTTGGGGTGTATAGGGAGATATCGTTTTTGTTTTACTCTGCAGTGGGGTGTCTATGCAGATATTTTTTGTTGTTTGTTGTACCTTGCACTGGGGTGTATATGCAGATATATTTGTGTGCGTTTGTTTTATGTTGGGGTGTATATGCAGGTGCTGGTGCTAGATGCAATAGGAGAGAGGCCGCATGCAGCACATTTAAGTATACAAGAAGCTTTAGACATAGGCGTATTGCTGCAGCCTCGACGTCTCTTCTTTGTGGGTATGGACTGCTGCTTAGAAGACCAGTGGACCGCTAAGCGATTAGACCAATGGTTAACCACCCATAGACAAGCATTTAAAGCAGCACGAGGAAGAGACAGCCGAATAGAACGTGTAGCGCTCGCTCATGACGGCCTCTTCTTAAACGTACACCTCGCTGCTGCTGCTGCTGCTGCTGCTGCTGCACATCCTGCTGCGGTTGCTGCTGCTCTTGCTGCGGATCGCGCAGTAGTTGCAAATGCAGCTAGGTAGACAACGCGCGCTGCAGCAGCAACTCCAGCAGCAAGGTGGGGTTTGATCGTGATTGTTGCTGACGATATATCTTCATATGCGTACAAGGAGTCCTTGGCGCATCTTCTGGTGTTTGTTTGTTTTCTTAATGTTATTATTCTTTGCTCTGTTTAAATAATATATTCAATATATCTGTATATTATATATTGTTGTATATTGTATGTATGCTATTGTGTTATATATATAATATATATATATATATATATACTGTGGACAGCAGAAGAAAGTGCTGTGCAGCAGCAGACCGACCAGTGGTCTGGTCCGCTGCCGTCTGCTGCTTTGAAAACAGCAGCAGCAGCAGCAGCAGCAGCAGGAGCAGCAGCGAACAGCAATGGGCCTGGCATAGTTTGCTGCTGCGGTGCTGTGTGGTGCGAGGAGTATGTACAGCAGCGTTTGCTGCTGCTCTTGTTCTGTCTTGTCTCTGTTGCTGCTGCATCTCTGTCGGTAGATGCAGAAGCCGCAGCATAATGCTGCTGTCCCCTTTGTATGCATGCATGCATGCGGTGTCTCCTCTCTTGTTTAGAGTTTCATATTGATTGATGTAAGCCAAAGGAGACAGAGACGGCTCTGCGCGTCTCTGTAGGTTTGTCGGTTGTACATACACCCGAGAGCAGCAGCAGCAGTTCGCTGCAGCTGCTAGCGGCAGCAGCAGCTAGAAGCAAGTAGCTGCAAACACAACTCCAAACAAATCGGGTAGCGCTGCAGCTGCAAGTGCAGCAGCTGCAACAGCAGCAGCAGCTGCAAGTGCAGCAGCTGCAGCAGCGTGTTCTGGTGTCACTTCAACTACTTCTCCTTAACAGTTTCCAGGGGCTGCTGTTCGCCCTGAAGCGTCTCTGCTGCAGCAGGAGGAGACTCTGTTGATGCTGTCTCTGCTGCAGCAGCAGGAGACTCTTCTGCTGCTGCTGCTTCTGCTGCTGGTTTAGCAGGGGTGTGCGCTTGGGCTGCAGGATATTCTGTAGTCTTTCCTGTTGCATGCGAGTGAACAGCAAAAAGGAGACAGTTGTTTTTACTTTTAATCGTTGCAGTGTCTCCTTCCTCTAAGTCTCCCCGCAGCACTAACTCTGCAATCTTTGTCTCTACTTGCTGCTGAATTAAGCGTTTAAGAGGCCGAGCGCCAAAGGCAGGGTCGTAGCTGCAGCGCAGCAAAAGGAGACACAAAGAGACAGATTAAATTGTATTATATATATACACACTATAGATAACATATATATATATGTATATTACTATACACATATGTACACCATTGTATATAGTTAAAAATACATATTATACACACATTATTTATATATGCATATATCTAATATACATAATATATATATATATATACAATATATATATATATATATATATAATTGGATATACTGCATATGATATTTGCTTTGTATAGTGTATATTAATGATAAACAGAACAGCAAGAGATAAAACGAGAAAGAGAAGAAAAGCAGCAAACGGAGACACAAAAACAAGAGGAGACAGCAGATAAAATAAGGCGGAGACAAACAAAAGGAGACACCGCGAAATGAAGATATATATGTATATATATATGTATATGCATATATATATATATATATGAAGATATATATATATATATCAACAGAAGAGACAAAAGAACGAAACAAAGACAAAAACAAAAAGCAGACAAAACAAAAGGAAAATAAAACAGCCTTCAAGAAAGGAGACAGAAGAGACAGAAGAAGAACAACAATACTGAAAAAGAAAGGAGACAGAAGAGACAGAAGAGTAATAATAAAATTAAAAAGGAAAGGAGACAGAAGAGACAGAAGAACAACAATATTAAAAAAGAAAGGAGACAGAATAATAATAATATTAAAAAAGAAAGGAGACAGAAGACAAAGGAGACAGAAGAGACAGAATAATAATAGTATTAAAAGACAAAGGAGACAGAAGAGACAGAATAATAATAATATTAGAAGACAAAGGAGACAGAAGAGACAGAAGAATAATATAAAAAAGAAAGGAGACAGAACAGACCCTGTCTCCGCCATGTGCACTAAGGCTGAGTCTTCAATTTTAACTTTAATTTTCTTCTCCATGAGTCTATCTGCGAGTTTCTCCATCTCTAAGCGGATGACTTCTTTTATTTCTACATAAAATAAACAAACAAAGCACACAAATGTTTAATATATCACATTAAATAACTTCAAGAACAAGACTAACAAACGCAGCAACATGGACACGGCTTCGATTGAAAGTAAGGGAAGGAGACATATTTATATACAGTGCTTATCAATGCATATATATTCTTTTATACTGATATTATATGATGCGCATATATATATATATATATATATATATATATATAAGGTACAGTGCATACATACATGTATGTACGATATATATATATATATATATATATATATATATATATATATATTTATACTTGTACAGAGTGTATATCATAGGAATATATTATTCCTATGATATATATTTTATATATGTCTATCATTTGATATTTCGTATGAATACGTTACTATAGTATATATATATATAAACAAATATATATATATATATATATTCTATCCAGAATTTATTTATAAAGTCGAAGCCACATGCAGAAAAACAAAGAAAGCCCCAACCCAACAGGAAGAAAAGAGACAAAGAGACAGAGACAGAGAGACAGAGACAGAGAGACAGAAGAGTTAGGAGAGACACACAGAGAGAGAAAGAGAGAGACAAAGATACGGAGACAGAGACAGTTAAGAAAAGATTTAAATGATATTCCTTACGTTGTTTAGTAAGGGGGTCAAAGACAACAAATTCATCAATTCTATTGTAGAACTCAGGCCTCAGTGTATCTCGAACAGCCTGCAGCGCCTTCCTGTGTACGTACACCGCAGCAAAAACAAAAGAAGCAGCAGCAAACCAACAAGTAAAAGAAGAGATTAAAAAAGATATTATAAAATTAATGCATCCACAGACAAGACAGATAAGAAGTCAAACAAACATACACAGACGGAGACACCCCAACAACTAAAAGAAGAACAAACAAACAAAACAAACAAAACAAAACAAACAAACAAACAAACAAAACAAACAAAACAGAAGAAGAGACAACAATAAATAACAGCAAAAGAAAGACAGCACTAAGCAGCCAACACCCCCGAGCAGAAGAAAGCGGCGAGAAGAACTCAAGACACAAGAAAAAGAAAAATAAAACAACAAGACACCCTAATTAAAATAAAAATCAAGACAAGACATCAAAACCCTAACATCATTTATCTATTTCTATCTTTATGGCCTCAGATTCGCCTTTACTGCGGCATCGCCTCGGTTGTCTCTGCTGAGAAAACGGAGGCTCCGCAGCCCCCCAAAGAGGGGCGTACACTTAGATTCATCAAAGGCAGCAGCTGCATGCGGTGTACGTACACCTCAGCTGAGCTGCGGTGTATGCGTATACCCCAGCTAAGCTGCGGTGTACGTACACCTTAGAACAGGCATGGTGTACGTACACCGCAAATTCATTCTAAAGGGGATATCGAAGATAGCATGCAAAAAATAAATAATGCATGTGCATTCCGTGCTGCAATGCATGCATATACACCCCAACAGAGCAATGCATGCAATCCTCTGCATGGATATACACTTAACATGCAAGCAATAAAATGAAGTGCATGCATAAAGTCAATGCATGCACTTCCCTACATGCAACGACTTGCATGCATGCAATACAATGACTCGCATGCAACCACTTGCATGCATGCCCTAGTCTGCATGCATGCATGCATGTATGTGTGAGTGTGATTATATCATAAAGAGGAAGTATAAATGTGAAGAAGGTTGCGAGGAGTTTTAATGCCTGACTTCTCTGCTGCTTGTTTTTTTGAGGGTTCATTAGCGCTGTCTAGCAGCGCATCTGCACCGATGTTTGAAGTGAAGATTAAAACGCAATTCTTAAAATTAACTAGATTTCCTTTGCTATCTGATAGGCGGCCCTCGTCTAACAGCTGCAATAACACATTAAAAATCTCCGGGTGCGCCTTCTCCCTGTCCCCACATAATACACACAAACATACACACAAACAATTGCATGCATGCATGCATGCATGCATACATGCATGCATGCTAGGGTTTAGGGTTTGGGCTTTAGGGGTTGGCCTCTAGGGTTTCATGTTTATGGTTGGGGCTACAGGGTTTAGGGTATATATATATACAGAGAGAGAGAGCGAGCGTGACTGAGGTGTAGGGTTTAGGGTTTGAGGTTTAGGGTTTGTGCTTACATCTCATCGAAGACAATAAGCGAGTAGGGTTTCTTTCGTACAGCATCTGTTAGCTGTCCCCCCTGCTCAAAGCCTATATACCCTGGGGGGGCGCCGATTAGACGAGAGACACTATGTCTCTCCATATACTCGCTCATGTTAATACGCACGATTGCATCTTCTGCAGCAGCAGCAGCAGCAGCAGCAGCAGCAGCAACAGCAGCAGAAGAGACAGCAGAAATAGCAGGAGGCATCAACCTTCCCTGGAGTGTGTCTGCTTGCTTGTCTCTGCTGTTTGCTGTCTACGTCTCCCTGTCTCCGTCTCTGTATGTAATATGTTGCAGTTTCTCTGCTCGTGTGCATGCAGTCTCTGTCTCTGTCTCTGTCTCTGTCTCTGTCTCTCTTTGTTTTTTTATCTGCATCTCTCTCTCTCCGTCTCCCTGCTGTTTGCCTACGTCTGTTTATCTCTGTTTATATACGTTCCTGAGTTGCTGTGTGTTTGTGCTATCTATCTTTATATATATATATATATATTATATATATATATTTATATATATGCATGTATATATATATGTATAAACATATTTATATTAGATGTATAATATATAATATATATATTATATATATATATCTTGCTCCCTCTATATCTCCATTAGAATCCTCAACAGAGCTCTACCTGATACTACAGATACACCCGGAGTGTCTATCATCATAGTAAGTGAGGCAGAGAGTTTGAGTGTATTCACCTGAAGCAAAGAGAGCTTCAGCTAATGCTTTACAGAGCTCCGTCTTCCCTACCCCGGTCGGCCCTAAAAAGAAAAGAGATGAGAGAGGCCTCTTAGGGTCGTTGATGCCTGCACGAGAGCGCTGAATTGCTGATGATACAGCCCGCACCTGAACGTACACCCCAATTTCATAACAAATATACCCATTCAAATACTATATATATACATGTATAGGTATATATGTATACGTATGCTTGTATATAGATATATACTTACGTATGCAAATACATGCATGCATGATCATTTATATTATATATATACACATATATATACATGAGTATATATATATATATATAGAGTCAGGTATGCGTAAATATATATATATGTACATATATATATATATATATTTACATCTATATACATGCATGTCTGCATATATGCATCTGTACAGCTACATATGTATATAATTATAAAATTACATATATATATATATTATCTGCATGAGGGAGTTGAGTTGTATATTGTAGTGTATAAAATAAAAGTATATTTGGGGTGTCTGCTGACCGCTCTGTCTTGGCCCACAACGCGTTGATGAAGTCTGTCTTCGAGGTGTAAGAGCTTCTCTCTTTCTGTCTCCTTTAATCGGTTTAAGGGGATACCCGTCCAAACAGAGACAACCCCAGCAACATCTGCTGCTGTTACCTCATCACGAAGCAGACGCTTTCCCTCTGCATGCGCTGCTTTGTACTCAGACTCAGCCTCCTGCAACTGCCTCTGCAGCAGCAGCAGCAGCAGCAGCAGCAGCAGCAGCAACAGCAACAGCAGCAAGCAAGAAAAAAGAAAAGCCATTGAGAAAAACTAAAAGACGATTGCAAGCAAATATAAAGCATCAAATAATAAACACAATCCACAAGTCCCCATGCATGCAACACTCACACAAACTGCTGCTGCAGCAGCAGCAGCAGCAGCACCAACAGCAGCGCCTGCTGCTGCAGCACCACCACCAATAGCAGCAGCAGGACGAGCACCAGTAGCACGAAGAGCAACAACAGCAGGACGAGCAGCAGCAGCAGCAGCAGGATGAGCAGCAGCAGCAGCAGCAGCAGGATGAGCAGCAGCAGCAGCAGCAGCAGCAGGATGAGCAGCAGCAGCAGCAGCAGCAGCAGCAGGTTACCTCTAGATCTGGTAGCGTTTCGAATCGGAGTTCTGCTGCTCTATTTAAGTCAAAGTCTCTCTCTGCTCTTTCTACCTCCACCTTCACGACATCTATTCTTTCTTTAATTGCTCTGATTGCATCCACTTGTGCCTTTTCCTTTGTCCATGCATCTGTTAGAGTTGCCTATACACCCCAAACCCATGCATACACCCCACACAAGCATGCACATAGATGCATGCATGCATGCACATACACCTCAATAGCACCACACATGCTGTGCTGTGAGTACACCCCAAACAAACAACAGGCTGCTGGCGATGCCTATGATAATGCTTGTTGCTGCGGGGTTTAGTTTAGGGTGTATAGCTGCATGCGTGGGGTGTATGTGCTGCTTTTGCTGCATAGAGATGGAGACAGCCACTAGCAGTCTCCAATAAAAAGCAAAGAAGAAGAGACAGAAACAGAGCGAAACAAAGCAGATGCAACTAACAGAAAGATAAGATAATAAAGAGACAAAACTGCATGAATGAGAGGGCCGATAGAAATAAGAGACAGACGGAGGAGCATAATTAAAAAAAAGAAGAGAGAGAGTAAAGAGACAGAAGAAGGAGACAGCAAGTGCTGCAGTCTACAAAAGAAGAGACAAACGAAGGAGACAGCGAATGATATTATAAAAGAGACAGACAGAGAGTTAGCTATGATGGCACAACTACGCTTTTAGTATTTCTTCTTCTCTTTTATTATTTAATCTTTTACTCGTATTATTTATTATTTATTATTTATTATTTATTATTTATATGTTCTTTTAGTTGTATTGTTTACCTGCTGCGCTTGCAGACGCTCTATCTGCGACTCCACCGCTCGAAGACGAAGTTTCTCTGCTTCATCAAGACTGCGTGTTTTGCTGTCTCCTAGAATAGAGATGCGCTCCATCTCAAGCTGCAGCAGCAGCCTATCTAGCCTATCTAGCTGGATAGGCTTGCTGCTAACTTGTATCTTTAATCTTGCTGCAGCCTCATCCACCAGATCTATTGCCTTATCCGGTAAATAACGATCCCTGACACACCCCACAGGTGCACGTACACCCCACACAATTGCAACAACAATGCATGCATAACTCTCACGAGAGCAGCTCCCTATGCACCCCTCCCGTCTACTGAGCTGCCTATACACCCCACCGGTCTACCGAGCTGCCTATACACCCCACCCGTCTACCGACCTCCCTATACACCCCACCGGTCTACCGAGCTGCCTATAGATACCGGGTATCTATTGGGGTGTATGTATGTATGTGTACACTTTAGGGTGTCTGTACAGCTAATGCATGCGCCTCACGTGATATATCGATTGGCGAGGTGAGCAGCCTCAACGAGTGCAGAGTCTAAAATACGCACACCATGGTGAACTTCGTATCTTTCTTTAAGCCCCCTTAATATACTAACTGTTGCTTCTTCTTGCGGCTCTTCTATCTATACATAAACAAACATAGCACGCATATATATATATATATGTATATGTATATGCATTTGCTCGCTGCTGTGCAGCTGCAAGGCCTCAGGTCGAGACAGAGATGGAGGAGACAGCAAAAAGAGACAGAAATGCTGTCTCTTAAAACACCCCTCGCATCCATATAGGGCGCAGGCGAACCCCCGTCACAGGCTAGGGTTTAGGGTTTAGGGTTTAGGGTTTATAAGGGTTTATAAGGCGTACTAAGACCCTCTGGAAACGACGCTCAAGAGCCTTATCCTTTTCAATGTGCTGTCTGTACTCCTGAGTTGTGGTGGCGCCGATACAGCGGAGTTCACCGCGGGCGAGCAGAGGCTGCAGAGACAGACAGCAAGAAGAGACAGACAGAGGAGACAGATAAAATAGACAAAAAGAGACAGACAAAGTATGAGAGACAGACAGAAATAAACGAGACAAAAAGGAGACAGACAATATATATATATATATATATATACATATACATATATACATATATATACGCATATATATATAATCTCTCCCTCTACACACAAAGAAAAGATAGATAAAAAGACTAGACAGACAACACCTATACCTATATACACATCTACATACATCTATATAATATATATTATATATATATTATATAATATATTATATATACACCTTAAGTAGATTTCCTGCATCCATTGCGCCTTCAGTAGATGCGCCTGCGCCGACGACTGTGTGGATTTCGTCGATGAACAAAACGACGCCTCCTTCTGCGTCCTCTACTTCTTTCAACACTGCCTTCAGACGCTCTTCAAACTCACCGCGATACTTAGACCCTATACATATCAATCAATAGATATATATATATATATATTTATATAGATATATATATTTAGATTTATATAGATATATATATATATATATATTTAGCTTTATATATATAAATATATATATATATATATGTATGTATGGATGTAGATGTAAATATTACTTCAAACTCATCAAGGTACTTATACATGTAAATAAACATATAAATATAAATATATATATATATATAAAGAAATACAGACATCAATTAGCCTATTTATAATATATAAATCAACTAATTAAATGAATAACGCGAATAAATAAATAGACGATAATAAATAGCATTAACCAACAAAGGAAATGAATATAATATAGTTAAAATAATAATAGCAATAAGAAACAATTCAGTAAAACAAACAAATAAACATTTGGGGTCGATACACCATAAACAAACAAAGATATAACCTCTTAGATATCATATATCTACTCCCTAGCATGTAGCAACAGCAAAGGCAGCAGCAGCAGCAGCACGAGCAGCAGCAGCATCTCCCCAAGCAGCGGCAAAAGCAAGACAAGCAGAAGCAGCATCCCCAACAGCAGCAGAAGAAGCAGCACCACCCCCCCTAGCATCAGCATCAGCATCAGCAGCAGATCAGCAGCAGCATCAGCAGCAGCATCAGCAGCAGATCAGCAGCATCAGCAGGAGCATCAAGAGCAGCAAGCAGCATATATATATATATATATATTGTGTAAGTAATGAGTACATGCCTGCTAGGAGTGCGCCCATATCTAAAGCAAGCACTCTTCTGCCTTTAAGAGAGTCAGGTACATCACCGGAGACGATCCTTTGAGCGAGGCCCTCAACAATTGCTGTCTTTCCTACCCCTGGGTCTCCTAATAATATCGGGTTGTTCTTTGTTCGTCTTGATAATATTTGAATTAAACGCCTTATTTCATCATCTCTACCTATCACAGGGTCTAGCTTACCCCCACGAGCCTCAGCTGTTAAATCCTTTGAATACCGATCCAACGCCTCGTATGCCTGCAGCAGCAGCAGCAGCAGCAGCAGCAGCAGCAGCAGCAGCAGCAGCAGCAGCAGCAGTGTTGGAGTAAAAGTCGGAGGGGTAGTTGCAGTTGGGACAGCACCGCACAGCAAGCACATGAGATAAAATAGCACAGGAAAGGCAGCAGCAGAGTAAAGCAGCAGCAGCACCGTAGCAGCAGTAGAGTAGCAGCAGCAGAGTAGCAGCAGCAGAGAGAGAACATAAAGGAAACGAAACACGGCGCAGCACCAAATGAGGCAGCAGCAAATGATGCAACAGCAGCAGCAGCAGATGATGATGATGATGATGCAGCAGCAACGGTCCTAACAGACACAGCCTCTCGCCCCACCCAACATATCGGCTATACATGTAATAACCTGCTGCAGCAGCAGCAGCTGCAGCTGCTGCTACACCTGCTGCTGCTACACCTGCTGCAGCTGCTAAGTGTGAACTTCATGCCAGTGTTGTCTCATGTAGCAGCTGCTGCTGTTGCAGCAGTCCTTGCTGCAGCAGCAGCAGCAGCAGCAGCAGCAGCAGCAGCAGCAGCAGCAGCAAAGGCCAACCCCACGCACCAATTCTGGGTTCTTGCTGTTTACTCTTTTCTTGCCTCGCACTTCTGTTACTGCTTCTTTGATTTTGCTGAAGGAGACCCCCTGCCGCTGCAGCGCTGGGCGCAGGAAGCGCGACTCCTCTGCTGCTAACCCGAGCAGCAGATGCTCCACCGACAGATACTCATCCTGCAGCAGCAGCAGCAGCAGCAGCAGCAACAAACAGGCAGATGCAGCAGCAGATGCAGGGATCCAACTTACACGAGAAAGACGAGCTGCAACAGCAGCAGCAGCAGCAGCAACAGAAACACCAGCAGCAGAAGCAGCGGAAGCAACAGCAACGACGCCAACAGCAGGAACAACAGCAACACCAGCAGGACAGGCAGCAGCAGCAAAAGGATGCAGCAACAGGTCCAGCAGCAGCAGCAGGACTGGCGGCAACAGCAACAACAGCCGAACCAGCAGCAGCAGCAGAGGTAGCAGCACCACCAGGACCAGCAGCAGCAGAAGTAGCAGCAGCACCAGGACCAGCAGCAGCAGAAGCAGCAGCAGCAGCAGGAGTTGGTGATTACTCTGAATTCTCTTTTGAAGCGTTGTGCTGAGGCTAAGACCTGCTGCAGACCCCTGCCTAAGACCTTCTGATCTCCAAACCCTAAAGCCATGCGCGGCTGTCTCTCCAGGTGTCTCTGCAGCTCCTGCTGCAGCGGCTCCACAGACACACCAGCGCGCGTCAGCACCCGCTGCGCTAGCCCCTCAGGCCCGTCCTGCAGCAGAGCTGCAGCAAAACAGCAGCAGAAACAGCAGCAGCAGCAGCAAATCGAGCAGCAGCAGCCCCTAATGCAGCAGCATATAAATGCAGCGTGCAGCGACACACACGCAGCAACAGAAGCAACAGCAGAACTCGTAGCAGCAGCAACAGCAGCAGCAGCAACTCAAGCAGCAGGACCAACAGCAGCTCGGGTAGGGGCAGCAGCACCATGAACAGCGGCACGAAGCAGCAGCAACAGCAGCAGCACTAGCAGCATCAGTAGCAATAACAGCAGTAGCAGCACTACCAGCAGCAGCACCAGTAGCAGCAGCAGCAGCAGCAGGAGAAGAAGTCTTCTTGTTTACCTAGAAGCAGCATCTCTGCTTCAACATACGCAGACTCGTGTTTATCAGCTATAGAGCCGAGTGCAGACATTGCCTCCCAGGCCTTCTCTGTATAATCATTTGCATCTAAGACCAACCCATCATCTGCTGCTGCATGCAGCGAAGTGCCTGTTGCTGCTGCTGCTGATTCGCGCCGTCCAAACCCCCCCCACAGACACTCAGAACAAGATGAAGGAGACAGAGGAGACAGTTCAAAAGAAAAGGGGACTGCAGCAGCAGATAAACGCCCCTCAGCAGCAGCAGCAGAAGAAGCAGCAGGATTAAGGCTGTTAACACCTCCAAACTCGCTGCTGCTGATCTTGCTGCTGTGCCCGCTGTTGCTGCTGCTGCTGCTGCTGCTGCTGCTGCTGCTGCGGTTGCGAGGAGAACTACGTGAAAGAAAACTGCGGAGACCCCCTGCAGATAAAGGAGACAAAAGGAGACAAAAGGAGACACATAATAATAATAAGAATATACACCAATATAAATACGTGCAGCACAAAACAATTAAGTTAATAGTAAAGCATTAATAAAATAATAAAATAATATATATAGTACATATATTATTAATAATACAATAACAATAATAAGAAATGTTGTGCGTTTGCCTGTCTCTTTTAACTCAATTCAGTGTATGTCTCCGTCTATAGAGTTTTACTGTCTCCTTTATCTATCTGTCTCCTTTACTCTCTTCTGTCTCTCTTTTAGTTGTCTGTCTCGTTTCTTCTTCTATTTATCTATCTGCCCCCTCCTGTCTCCTTTCTTTTATTTGAGCTGTCTGTCTCCTTTGCTTTATTTTTATTGATTTGTCTGCCTCCTCCTGTCTCTCTTCTTTTGCGTTATATATCTGTCTCTGACTGTCTCCTTTTGTCTCCTTTCTTCTTTTAATGCATTTAATTATACTTCTTCTCCTCTTCATTGCTGCACACTCACCTCCAGAGAACCCAATAAACCCAAAGAAAGGCCCTGAGTTATCTTGTGCTACACCAAGGGCCCCTTGCTGCAGCAACAGCAGCAGCAGCAAAGGCAGCAGCAACAGCAGCAGCAGCAGCAGCTGCCGCGCCTCGCGCCTCCACTCCCCCGCCCCACACCCCATATTCTAACGAAAAACGCAAACACTCGATGTCTTCTTCTGTTTACCTTCAAGCCACACGAAGATCAGCAGCAAGCTGCTGCCGCTGCTGCTGCTGCTGCTGCTGCTGCTGATTGCCGGTGAAGAAGGCGCAGCCTGTGTCTCCACTGGGGGCTGTCTCTTCTCTTCCCATTCGTTTAATTAAAACACAAAAAGAAAAACGCAACAAGACAGACCTTCTGCATACACCCCAGCGGTGAAGAGGCCTCCACCGAGCAGCAGGAGCAGCAGCGGCAGCAGCAGCAGCAGCCTGCGGTGTCTCGGTGCAGCACTTCTTTGTCTTTCTTTGAAATATCTTCTCACCCGATTATAATATAACCTAAAATAACTCTATTTAAAATAAAAACAAAGAAAAACAACAGACAAACAACAGCAAACTAACGGCTCCCTCGCTTCCCCCACAACCCCTTAGCAGCAAACTGAGCCTCAATAGGGGGGCCCCCTGCTGCTGGGGGCCCCTGCTGCTGGGGCCCCCCTGCTGCTGGGGGCCCCTTGCTGCTGGGGGCCCCCAATAGCAGGGGGCCCCTTAGTTAAGGGGGCCCCCCATCTTTGGTGTTTGTTGCTGTTTATTTGAGGTGTATATCTTCTGTATATTATTTTGTTTAGTTAAATCTGCTGATGTGTTGCTGCAGGGGGCCTATGATTTTCTAAGGCTAAATAAAACAGCAGCAGCAGCAGCAGCAGCAGCAGCAGCAGCATAGGGGGTTGGCGTTGTTGGCGGTATTGAGCGTTAGGGTTTTTTTGTTTATTTGTGCTTATTTGTTTTGTTGTTTTGTTTATTTGCTGCTGCGTGGGAAGCAAAAGGAGACAGTTAAACGAAGAAGCAGCCATGCAGAGGCATCAGCTGCTGCAGCCTGCCCCTCCGTGGGCCCTTTCATGCATTGCTTTGCTGCTGTCTCCTCCCTGCTGCATATCTGAGGTGTCTCTGCTGCCCTGTGAACTTTTTAATGCGGCTCTCCCCCCCAAATCGGATACTCAGGAGACCCCTGCAGCAGCAGCAGCCACAGCAGCAGCAGCAACAGCAGCAACAGCAGCAGCGGCAACATCAACCGCAGCAGAAAAAACAGCGACAGCAGCAAAATCAGCAGCAGCAGCAGCAGCATCAGATGCAGCAGCAACAACAGCAGCAGCACCAGATGCAGCAGCAACAACAGCAGCAGCAGCAGCATCAGAACCAACTGCAGCAGGAGAAGCAGCAGCGGCAGCAGGAGTAGCGGAAGCAGCAGCAAGAGCAGCAGAAACAGCAGTAGAAGAAACGGCGGCAGCAGCGAATGAACAGCAGGCGGCAGCTCAATTGCTGCAGTCTAGGGGTGCCCAATACGGTTTGCTGCTCAGCAGCAGCGACGAAGTTGAGGGTCCTGCTGCTGCTGCTGCTGCTGCTGCTTCTTGCACACCCCCGCAGCAGCACTTCGCGTTGGGGCTTTGTAATTGTGTCCTCTCGGGGCTGCATGCAGCCGCACAGCGAGCGCTCGACGCACCCCCTTGCTGCCCTCCTGCTGCTGCTGCAGCTGCCACTGTTGCTGCTGCTGCTGCTGCTGCTGCTGCTGCTGCCTGGTGTGGAGAAGCTTCTGGGGTTGATAAGGGGCCTTGGGGGCTGTTGAAGACAGTCGGGCTTCTTAGGCTTCTTCGCATTCTTTGCGGAGACACATACATCGACAAAGAAAACCAAATAAAGCAATTAATCACCTTGACTGGCTACCAGCTTCCTGTTGCTGCTGCTGCTGCTGCTGCAGCAGCAGCAGCAACAGCAACAGCAGCAATACCAACAGCAACAGCAGCAGGAACGGAAGCAGGAACAGCAGAATCAACTGCTGCAGCATCAACTGAAGCCCTAGATGCTGCTGAAGAGCAGCACGGGAATGCTTCTGCTTCTGCTTCTGCTGCTGCTGCTGCTGCGGCTGATTCGATTGCTCCTCTCCTTGAAGAGCTGCGGGCCTCGCGTCTGCCGCTGCTGCTTCATCCCAAAGGCGCAGAGATGTGGGCGCTGAGGCGCCAGCAGCTGCGGCGATGCATTCGGGTCTGTCTGCAGCAGCAGCAGCAGCAGCAGCAACTGCAGCAGCAGCACCAGGTGGGGCCTCAAACGCCTGGGCCTGCTGCAGCTGCAGCACCAGCTGCAGAAGCTGATATATTTCTGCTGCAGGAAGTTAATTGGCTCGCTAAGGAAGCAGCGCAGAGCCTCGACTGGCACCGAGCCCCCCCCGTACAGCAGCAGCAGCAGCAGCAGCAAACGCAGCAGCAGCAACAGCAGCAGCAGCAGTTGCTGCTGCTGCTGCTGCAGTCCGAGCTGGGCTTGGTTGTGTGGCACCTAAAGGCGCGCAGCCACAGCTACCCAGCAGCAGAGCATGCACACCGCGTGCTGCAGCTGTTCCTTGTGGAAGTCTCAAGTGCTGCTGCTGCTGCTTCTGCTGCTGCTGCTGGTCTTCCCGCTGCTGAGAGCAGCAGCATCAGCAGCAGCATGGCTGCAGCAGGACCAGGCGGGTGCAGCAAGCAGCAGCAAGAGCATGCTTTGGATTTGCTGCTGCTGCAGCGCGCTGTAGAGACAGAAGAGAGACTCTTTTGGAGACATCTAGCACAGACGCAGCCCTTTCATTTTGCTGGGGGGCATCAGCTGCTGCGTCTGCTCTCTCACGACCTGCAGCGCCTGCTGCAGCAGCAGCTGCAGGTGCAGCAGCAGCAGCAAGCTGCTGAGATAGCGCCGCTGGATCCCTCTTGGATTGTTCAGCAGCTGCAGCAAGGGGGCCTCGCTGCTGCTCGTGCTGCAGAGACAGCCGAAGAGGCGCGCTGCATTTTGTCTCTCTTCCCTTCTGCTGAGGCTGCCTGGCGCACCTGCACTTATTCTTTTGTTTGTCTCTTCAAGTGGGCAGCAGAAGCAGCAAAACAATGCCTGCTGCAGCAGCAACATCAGCAGCTGCTGCAACAGCAGGAGAAACAGCAGCAGCAGCAGCAACAGCAGCAGCAACAACACCAACAGCAGCAACAGCAGCACGATAAACAGCAGCAGCAACTGCAGCAGCAGCAGCAAATGCAGCAGCAGCAGCAACTGCAGCAGCAGCAGCAGCAGCAGGAGCAGCAGCAGGAGGAGCAGCAGCAGAGGCTGATGAGGGAGGTGGTGCTGCCTCCGCTAGCGGCCTTAGTACGCAATGAAGAGGTCTGGGCCTCTCAGGTGTCTCCTTGTCTCTTTTTAAAGCGCCACATCTCCACTTTAAAAGAAGAGTTGGCTTGGCTTGCAGAGACAGACCTGCAGATACACCCGAACTGAACGTACACCCCAACTCAACATACACCCCAGCAGTTATGGACACAGACTCCTGTTTTTTTCTGGAGTCGCCGCCTTAAGCGGGCAGAAGCATAGTCAGACGTATACATATATATATATATATATATACATATATGCATATATACATATATATGTATATATACATATACATATATATATACATATATATATGTATATATATTCAGACATATATATATACACATATATATGTATATATGCATATATATATATACATATTTATATACATACATATATGTATGCATATATATATATATATATATGTACATCTGCACATGTGTAGAACATATAATATATATCATGTATACAGATGAGTATATTCTATGTGATATGTATATTATAGAGAAAATATATATTATAGGCGTTGCATGTACACTCCAATAATATATATAATATATATTTATAAAATGCAATAACAAAAGAAAGCACAGGGCATAACACTCGGCCTCCGTTGCATGCGGGTCAGTGAAGCAAGAAAACATTTTTTTGTTTTGTTCTTTGTTGAGAATTAAACAGAAGGGCTCCTCTAAAGTATTTTAAACTGCACAGAGCCCTTTGTCTCTAAGTCAGAAGGATAGCCCCTCAGCAGCAAAAGAGAGAACTAAACGCCTACACATAAGCAATAGCTAGCTAGCTAGCTAGCTAGCTAGCTAGCTAACGGGTTGGCTAGCTAGCTAGCTGGCTGTCTGGCTAGCTATGGCCGCTTGCTGCAGCTGCTGCTGGATACGTGCAGCTGAGAGAGTTGCATGTTGTTTGGGGCGTCTCGCAGAGACATGCGATCTGTTATCTCTTTGCCGCTGCAGCTGCTGCTGCTGCTGCTGCAGCTGCTGCTGCTGCAGCGGCGGATTTGCGTGAAGGGGCTTTCTGTGGCGAGTGTCTCCTTTTATTTTAGCAGCAATTAAGAGTTGTGTGTTGCGCTTCACAACAAACACAGAAAGAAAGAAGAGAAAGCCCCAACTGTCTCCTTAGTAGCAAAGATATCCGGAGAACACAGGTATGGGGTGTATATGCATCTCTTTGGTGAACGTTATACCTGTAAAAGAATTAAAATAAAGCAGATAAATAAACAACAAACATCACATAGCGGCGGAAAAAGCAATAAAGAAAGATTTGCTGGGGGTTGTACAAAAAGGAGAGGTAGAGGCAGCGACACTGTCGTAATAACTTAGGTTGTCTTTGTTTTGCTGTAAGTCTCTGCATGCAGTTGCTGTCTCCTTAATGGTATTTTAATAAAATTAATTGTTTTAATTGTTTATTTCATAGTTTAAAAACTTGGAGCTGCCTATACACCCCGTTCCTTGCTGCTCGCGCCCAGGGGAAGTGACCTATAGGCGGCTGCGCCTGTAGGGCCGCCTCGTTTACGGCTTTGTTTAATAATTGGATTGTTGAGGGGTTAAAATATTTTTTTTAAATATATTTATTATTTTAATATTATTTTATTCTAAAAGAAACAAGGCTTCGATATGCAGACAGCTGCCGCCTCTGTTTTTCCTGCCGCTGCTGCTGCAGCAGCTGCTGCCACTGCTAATGTTGCTGCTGCTGTTGCTGCTGCTGCTGCTGTTGCTGTTGCTGCCGCTGCTGCCGATGATGTTTTTTGTTCAGTGGTTTATTCTTTTGTTTGCATGTTGTTGGTTGGGGGTTGCAGAAAAAGGTCTAGGGTCTACGGTATTTAAGGTGTGCATACAGCACAACACTCACAGCATCGGCTTTCCCTTGCGCTTGTTTTTGTGTTTTGTCTTTCGGCTCTAAAAAGAGAAAAAGACAATTAAACGTTGAAAAGATGCTTCAGCGGCTGGCGCTCTCCCCCGCAGCCCTCTTCTCCTGTACGGATTGCTCCCCTCTAAACTAAACCAGCAGCAGCAGCAGTAGCAACAGCAGCAGCAGCAGCAGCAGAAGTGCTGTCTTCTTCCTTTTTACAGGGCCCCGTCATAACCAGGGGCCCGCATGGCCCAGGATGGGCGGGAGAAGAGAAAAGGTTTTCTGTTTGTTGCTGCAGCATTTTACTCTGAGATCTCTAAAGGCAGCTGTCAGCAACAGCAGCAGCAGCAGCAGCAAAACACCCTCTCTAACGCCGGTGCTGCTGCTGATTTAGGGTGTATGTACAGCTTAAAAACATAGAAAAACAGAGAAATTGTGAAGTTCTCAAAGCTCAGACAGCATGCGAGGGGGGGCTGGGGCTGCTGCACTGGTCTCTGTCTCCTCGTCCCCCGTGGGGGGCAGGCCTCGCTGGGGAGCTGTGCTGCTGCTGCTGCTGCTGCTGCTGCTGCTTCTGCTGCTGCACGGAGCACAGACTTTGCAGGTTGTTGCTGCTGAAAAGGCAGCTGCGGGGACAACGCACGAAGACGCAGCAAAGGAGGTAAGCCAGGCCCCAGCAACTGAGAAGCAAAACAGAGAGAGCAAGACAAGGAGACAGAAGGAGCAGCAGAGGAGACAACAGGGGGGGCATAGATTAACAGCAGAAATTAAACGCGTCTTAAGGGACAAAAGCACATACACCGCAGCGTACTGGAGCGCATAAACGTGTGCTTCTACGTCTCCTGCTGCAGCTGCCTTTAAATACCGCTGCATCTGCTGCAGTTGCTGCTGCTCTAACTCGTGCTGCATGTGCTGCATCTGCTGCAGCTGCTGCTCGTGGAGAGAACAGACAGCCAAGGGGGACACCTCGAGAGCGCCTCTTCTGTTTCTACTTTAAAGGTATTCAAAGCTGTCTCCTGTCTCCTTTTTTGTCTTCTTTGACTCGACCCCGCGCTCTGAGCGCTTCGGCTCCACAGCAGCAGTAGCGGCATCGGCTGCTGCTGCTGCTGCTGCTGCGGCTCATGCTACAACTACTTTGCCTCCAGCATTGTCTTGCGCTGTTGCTGCTGCTTTTGTTGTTGCTGCTGCTGCTGGTTTCAGGAGTCAGGTATTGGGGCATCTGTGTCCCTGGGGGGCCCTCGGGCCCAGCAGTACGAGCTTCCCTCTGAAGCAAAATTAAATACTTTAGCTGCTGCTGCTGCTGCCCCCACGTCTACGGAGGCAGCGGCAGCTCCGGGGGCCCCCGGGGCCCCACAGGCCAGGGGCCCCCCTTTTCAGGCAGCAGCACCCAAGGGGGGCCTCAGCAACACTGGGGGCCCCCTCAGCACCGCTCAAAGGTATGGTGGGTTCAGCGGGAGGCCCTCATGCCCCTCTAAGAACCCTCAAGCAGAAGAAAGGAGAAGAAGAGCTGCTGCTGCTGCAGGCGCAGCCTTGCTGCAGAGCCAAATGCAACAGCAGCAACGGTGGCTGCTGCTGCAGAGCCGCAAACAGCAAGCAGCCGAGGCGGTTCAGCAGCAGCAACTGCAGCAGCCGCAGCAGACTGCTGCGGCAGGCATGAAGCAAGAGCAGGTCTCCGCTCCTCCTCCGTCGGGTCTCCCTCCAGAACAAATGGCTGGTGAGAAGGTAAAAGACGTTATCTTGCCTGCTGCTTCTGCTGCTGCTGCAGCTGCTGCTGCAGCTGCTGGGGGCTCAGGTTCATTGGCTGCTACGAAAAGTGAGCAGGAGACAGCGCAGGGAGCCCCAAAGGCCGCCGCTCCCCCCAGCTGCCCGCTGCCTTCTGAAGTGTCTCCTTTCTTTCATACACAGCTGGATGAAGCTTTGGGCCCCGCTGTGGGGCCCCACACAATTCAGGTAGGAGGAGACTCGTTGCTGGAGACAGTGCATGCTGGGGTGTACACGGAGACACCCCAGGAGACAAGGCATTCTTTTTCCCGCTCTGCTGTTGCTTCAGCAGAAACAAGAGTGCGCATGCAGCCCCGCATGCAGCAAGAAAGCCCCAAAGAGGCAGAGGCCCCCCCCTTTCGAATGGTGTGGGGGGGCCTCGAAGCTATTGCTGAAGAGGGGGAGTTAAGGGGGCCCCACATCTCCTCCCAGGCATCTGTTTGGGGCTTGGAGAGCGGGTTGCATGGGCATGCACAAGCGCATGCAAGTTCTTTAGAAGCAGAGAGGAGACAGGGGGCCGCAGTGGGATTAGGGGAGGCCCCTGAGCTTACTTGGGTCATGGGGGCCCCCTACCAGCCGTCCTCCTCGCTGCATTCAAGCCCTTCACAGGTGCATGCAGCACTAAAAGAATCACTTGAACTCGCCTTTCGAGTGCATGCACAGGAGCTGCACTTAGAGCGCTCTTTTTTGGGGCTTTCTGCTCCCAGTGTGCATGCAGGGGCCCCCTATGCAGCTACGCTGCAGTTTAGTTTTGATGTGGTGCCCCTGCATGAGCAGCGCTTAATTCAGGCAGAGGCGGCAGGGGGCCCCCCACAGGACCCTCTGGGGCTCCTGGGGCCCCTGGGGCCCCCGGAGGCCCCCGTTTTTGAATTGGTGGGGGAGTTGATGGGGGCCCCCTTTGCTGCTGATTTCTTTGAGGCCCTTGAGGAGGGTACAAAGGCAACCCCCGCTCAGGTCCAGCTGTCTGGTTGGGGCTTTGAAGATGTGTCTCTAATAGAAGGGGGAGTTTCACTGCATGCAAGAGGCCATGCAGAGCAGTGGATGAGGAGCCTGCTGCTGCCAGAGGAGCTGGTGCAGCTGCAGCTGCTGGCGCTGACGCTGCAGGAGCTGAGGCTGCTGCTCGCCTTAGAAGAAGAGATGGGGGGCCCCCAGGCCCCTCTACCCACAGAAGATTGGGCCCCTGAAGATAGAGAAGAGCGCATGCATTTCTTGTGGCCGCCGCAGGAACTGCATGCGCAGCACGCGAGGGACAGACAATACCAGAGGCAGCGGAAGCAGCAGCAGCAGCAGCAGCAAGAGCAGCAGCAGCAAGAGCAGCAGCAGCAAGAACAGCTGCAGGAAGGGGAGGAGACAGAAGAAGATTACCTTCTCGATGAAGAAGAGGAAGCCTTCTGGGAGCTTATGCTTGCAGACCCTGACGCCTGGTGATAATATACCATGTCTGCTGCAGCAAGCGCGTCTGCTGCTGCTGCAGCCTCAGTGAGTACAACAACCCCACCCTTGGCCTTCCTAGAGGCAGCGGGGGAAGGCCAGTGCGTGGGGCCCAGAGGAGGAGACAGGTCTTTACTTGGGGTGTCTCCTTGGGCTCCTGCTGCCGTGCACTTGGCGCAGCAAGAGGCAGAAAGGAGACACTCAAGCAGCAGCAGCAGCAGCAGCAGCAGCCTGTCTCGCCCGTTGTTTCTGCAGCTGCTGCTGATTTATTGTATCTCTTAATGAATAAACGCATGAAGCACCACCTGAGAAAAGACAAACCTTCAGGGGGGTGGTGCAGCAAACAAGGAGTTTCGCTACGTAAGAAGGGGAGTAATTGAATTTAGAGAGGTTTAGTTGTATTTCAAAAGGTTTAGTTATAGTTAAAGAGGTTTTGTTATATTTCACGAGGTTCAGGTATATCAAAAATATTAGCGATACCTAAGCCTCATTATATTATTATTAAATACACATCTATACATATATATGTATATATATATATATATATATATACACATTCATAGATATATATGGATATAAATAAATAAATCTATATATATCTATATATATATTATATAGGTAATATATAGGTAATAATAAATAATTATATATGTATATGTAAAGGGGTCCAAATATACTTAGAAACGGAGTAGCTGAATTTTAAGATGTCTAATTGTTTTTAAGGAGGTTTAATCCTAATTAGAGACTTCCAATTGCATTTGAAGAGGTCTACTCGTATTTAGAGGTTCAACTGACGTGTAATTGCATAGAAAGAGGTTTAATAACTATTTAAAGCGGTGCACTAGCAAGTGTATATATATATATATATGAATGCAACATCTTTATTTTAAAGTAAATGTCTCTATAGTTAAATCTCTTCAAGTGCAATTAGACCTATAAATATAGTAATACCTCTTTAAATACAATTAAAGTTTTAACCTACACGTAAAAAGATACGAAGGCAAAATGCCCCTATCTATGAGAGAGCAAACAAAACGAAAAACAAACAACACTGTTCTCAACGCCTTAAGCCTCGGTGGTGTATATACACCTCAAGTAAGTCGCCCTCCCCCTAACCTAAACTCTAAACCCTAAACCCTAGATTCTAAATCTCCACACTCCACGCCAAAACACCTGCCTACAGCAACTGCAGCTGCAGTTCTTCTACGAAAAACCAGCAGCAGCAGCAGCAGCAGCACATGTTGCTGCCTCAAGTGCAGCAGCAAGTGGTTGCAGCAGCCGAACGGAAGCCTTCTTCTGCTTCCAATTGGATTAATAAAATGAACATCAGACCATCCGAACCAACCCAGATCTGATGCTACTGGTGCTGCTTTATTTGCTGCTGCTGCTGGTGCTGCTGGTGCTCTTCATGCTCCCCAACGGGGCTACGTCAAGCGTTGTTGCTGCTGCAGCTGCTGCAGCTGGTACAGTCGCTGCAGCAGGAGCAGACGTCGCCGTGGCAGCAGCGGCAGCAGCAGCAGCAGCTTGTCAGTGGGCTTCTGCTTCCCTAGCTCTGAGTTGGGGCTGTGCATGCAGTGCTATCCTGTGTTCCTCCCGTTGCTGCTGCCACGCACCGAAGAGCAGCAAAGCGGCCAAATGCTGCGGGGCCTGCAGCAGCCTCGCTGCCGCCCGTTGCATGCATTAGGCAGCTGTGGGGCCGCACAGGACCCCCATGCAATGCCACTTCGAAGCCGCAGTCACCCGCACCCATCCTACCCTCCCTAGCAGTGCCTCGTCCCTGCAGCAGCAGCAGAAGCACCAGCAGCAGCAGCATGTCGCGACAGCGAAGAAGAGCTCCACGCCGCATCTGTCGGGATCGAACTGCTGCACATGTGCTTCAGGGCAAGGGCTATCAGCTGCTGCTGGTGCTGCTGCTGAAGACAGCATAGACAGGTGGTGTTATAAGTGTGTCGGCCGCACAAGAGCAGCAGCAGCAGCAAATAAGGAAGGAGACGCCTACCTGTCTACAAGGACTTTGATGTATTGCTTCGTGTGCCCAACAGTGTGCTCGCTGCGGTCGGAGTGCGAAGAAAACCAAACCTAAACAAAAACACAACACCGCATGCAGCTGCCGCTGTTACTGCAGCTGCTGCAGCTGCTGCAGCGGCCGAGCCACCACACGGGGTCAGAAGCCCCCCGCCAGCTCTATAGCTTGAGGGGTGTACAGACACCCCACGCAGGCACGGCAGACGGGCTTGTGGGGCTGCTGCATGTATGCATGCATCCCTCTACGCACGATCGCACGCATGCATGCATGCTTGCATGCATGCAGCCCCAAAAGGATCAGCACAGTTACCTTCTGTACAGTGCCGACCATCCAGTCGTAGCAGGTGTAGGCCTCGAAGAGTTGTGTCGCCTCTCTGCTGCGGCGCTTCACTATTTGGGAGTTTAGCTGCTTCATCGCTGCAGCAGGAGTGTTGGGGCGCGGATAGAACTGACTGATATTAACAGCCTGTAGCACCGCATGCAGCAACACCGCATGCAACAGCACAGCATGCAGCAGCACCGCATGCACCAACACAGCATGCAGCAGCATTGTATGCAGCAGGACCGCATGCAACAGGACCTCATGCAAGCCACAGAAAGGGGCAAACCCCCCAATGGCGTGCTGCAGGCCTAGGCCTGTAGGGGTGTGTGGGGCCATAGGGTGTAGGGTTTAGTATTTAGGGTTTAGTAGCAGTCGTCGCTCTATGCTGCTGGCTTCTCATTGGGGCCTCTTGCACCTCTGGTGTACGCTGGATTAGCTGGCTTTCCTCACGCCCTTCAACAGCAGCAACAGCAGCAACAGCAGCAGCAGCAGCAGCTGCTGGTGCTGCCGCTGCCGTGGGTGCATCCAGCCTGGTGACTCACTGGGAATCGGTAGTCTGAGAGCAGCTGCAGTGTCTTGACATGATCTTCTTCGGTTTCATCAGGGAACCCACAAATGATATCCGTCATAATACTCATTCGGGGGTGGGCCTGCAGACAGGCGTCTACCACTTGGCGAAACTGCTCCACGGTGTAATCCCTCTTCTGCACACCAATCAGCAGCAGCAGCAGCAACAGCAGCAGCAGCAGTTGAGCAGACATCTCCTTAAACCGGAAATAATGCACACGCTCGCACTCAGGAAGCGCAGAACCGCACGCAACAGGAGCAGCAGCAGCAGCAGCAGAAGCAGCAATAGCAGCACAGGGGGCGGGAGCGCCTGCTGGTGGCAGTTGAGCCACCAAAGCAGCAGCAGGAGCAGTAGCAGCAAAACTGCAGCAGCAGCAGCACCGCAGCGGAGCAGCAAAGCAGCAGCAGCAGTTTGACGCTTGTGGTGTATGTTCACCATCCTACTGAGTACGCGGTTGCTGCCGGACTGTACAGGGAGGTGAAGAAACTCGAAGACATTTGGATGCCCTAAGATATCTGCAGCAGCAGACAACTGACCCAACAGAAATGGGGGATTCCCCATCCCAATGCGAAGCATCACCTCCTCCGGCAGCGGCTGCTGCAGCAGCCGCCGAAGCAGCTGCGTCAGGCTGCTGCCGATGTCCAACCCGTAAGCGCCTGCACCGAAGCAACACCCCACAACCCTGCTGCACCTATCTTCCAATCCATGCATGCATGCATGCATGCATGCATGCAGAGAAGCCATGCTTCAAGGATCTCGCAATCCATGCATGCATGCATGTAGCTGCGTGTCCGCTGAAGCTGCGTGTCCGCTGCAGCTGTGTGTCTGCTGCAGCTGCGTGTCTGCTGCAGCTGCGTGTCTGCTGCAGCTGCGTGTCTGCTGCAGCTACGTGTCTTCTTGCCTGTGTCTTCGCTGGTCAGCCAAATTTGTGTGACTCCCTGTTCTATGGCACTCCGCACGCGAGCTTCAATGGCCTCCTCCGGGTAGCTCCCCAGGTCGCCGCTGCAGCAAGAGACTCACAAAGAAACAGCAGGCCTCTCTTTGCACCCCTACAGCTGTTGCTGCAGCTGTTGCTGCAGCTGTTGCTGCAGCTGTTGCTGCAGGTGTCCATACACCCCACGGGCTGCTGTCCGCCAGAGCCCATAGCAAGGCGGCAAGGCTAAAGCAGCGGCCGCCAAAAGAGACAATAAAATCCATGAAAACAAATGTATTAGAGAGAGAAAGAAGAAAGAGGAGACGCACCGCGCATGCTTCGTCTTGCAGTACGTGCAGTTGCCGAGACACCCCGTGCTAATAGGCACAATTTCTATAAACCGGTTCCTTCGAATCTTTGGCAAGTCTAACGGAGGAAGGCTGCAGACGAAAGTAAACAAAACATAAGAGGGGGCCCTCACTAGCAACAATAAGGAGGCGCCCTGAACAGCCACAGGGGCCCCTTAATAACCACAGGGGCCCCTTAACAATCCCAGGGGCCCCTTAACAATCCCAGGGGCCCCTCAACACAATAACAAGGCCTCTTAGCGGAATGACAAACAAACAGGCGCATTTAAATAGGCGCAGAAGATGGGTCTTCCCCTACCACTCCGTGCCTCTCGCCTCTTGCAGGGCTCCACTAGATGCTCTAAGGCTGCGGTAAGGATTAGGGCTATTGGAGAGTTTATGGTTTGAGGGTTTAGGAGCTGTGTTGCAGGAGGCGAATGGAATGAACTGGTGTGCGGTGTTGGTTTGGGGCTTTCAGCGGCGTGGGTACGTCGATGGTAGCACGGGGTGTACAGACAGCTCACCTCTTGCCACCAGTGAGACGCACGATGCGGCCTTGAAGAGCCTCTTCTACCACTTCAACAATGCGGCTGAAGGCAGAGATCCCTACAACTGAACATTGGTCCAGCAGCGCTTGCTGCCACGACGCAGCAGCAGCAGCAGCAGCACCCTTGCCGCGCCTGTCCGCTCTAGCAGCACCGGGGACACACCCTGCAACTACACAGGGAATCCGCCGACGCTGCTGCTGCTGCTGCTGCTGTTCCTCCTCCTGCTCCTGTTGCTGCTGCTGCTGCTCTGGTGGAGTGCGCTGCTTGCCCGTGCCAGCAGTAGCAGCAGCAGCAGCATTGCTGCGCGGGGGTGCCTGGCCCAGCGCGGCCCTGATGACTGAGTAGAAGGCGAACTCAGAAGGGCTTTTGACGGTGCATGAATTAACTACGCAAATATCTGCCTCCTCCATCGCCTCCACAAAGCGATACCCAGACGCATGCAGCAAGCCTTCTGCAGCAACACGAATGCATTCACACGCAGCAACAGCAACACCAGCAGCACATCCAATAGCAGCGCCTGCAGCAGCAGCGCCTGCAGTAGCAGCGCCTGCAGCGGAAGCACATTATGCAACGGAGACCCAGCAGCAGCGCCTGCAGCAGCAGCTACAGCACGTGCTGCAACGGCAACCCAGCAGCAGCAGCAGCAGCAGCAGCAGGACGCACCCACATCAGCGCAACCCAACACTTAAAGCGCGACAAACTCGCATGCAGATGCAGCAAAAGAAAAACAGAGGCTACAGGTCGAGAGCTTCTACACTGCGGCTAAGAAAACCTTCCCCGCAACCGCACATCACAACACCCAAACCCCAAACCCTAGACCCTAAACCCTAAACTAGAGAAGCGTACGCATGTACTCTGAGTCGGAGATGTTGTGAGAACAGCCGAATGTCTTGAAATAAACTTTGGAGCGCCCCGGGAGGAATGCCGCTTCATCGTTTAGCGCAACTCCTGCGGGTGCCAAAGCAGCAGCAGAAGCAGCTGCCGCTTCTCCTGCTGCTGGAGCAGCAGCAGCTGTTGTCAGTTCTTCTTTATCGTCATTGCTTTCTTTCACCAGCTGCGACGCAGCCCGCCTTCTTGCAGCCTTAGGCTGGAGGTAAGTAGACATCTTGGCAGCACGTGCAACTCTTTTAAATTCATCTTCGCTATCCTGCAGGTCTTCCATATCTGCTTCCCCGGCTTCTTCTTCTTCAGCTGTTTCTTCTTGTTCTGCTGCAGCCTCAGACGAACCCCCGCATCCACAGGCGCCCCCGCAGCAGCCGTCTGACGTATACGAGCCTCCCTCAGCTGCCTTTCGTGCTGCACCTCCTGCTGCTACTACAGGTACTGCAGCAGCTGCAGCATCTCCCGCTGCAGTAGGAGAAGCTTCCCCACGAAATAACCGCCAGACCAAGTACCCTGTACAGGTGAAGGCGGCTCCCACCTCCACAGCCACTAATGAGGGGCCCCCCTTCACCTTCCCTGCGAGCTGTAATGTTGCTGCTGCGCCTGCTGCCAATGCAACAGCAGCACAACAGGCTGTGGGCAGAGCTCCCTCCAATGCGAGGGGAGAGGCGAGGCCCTGATGAGGCCCCTGGTTTGAAGGCATTGCATTACAGAGGCAGCAGAACGCGCTGATAAGAAAGAAGATGGGGGCTGCCCTTTGAGCGGCTCTTTAATACATGCGGCGAGGCTCAGAACGAAAAAACAAGGAGAAGCGGAAAAGAATTAATAAGCAGACATATTTACAGTTTCAAGCATATTAAAAAAAGAATTTATAGTTCAGTTGTTAGGTAAGAAACTGCAGATCTATAGGAGGCCCTCAGAAGACGGTGGGGCCCCCCTCCCCTCTCACATTCGGGAGGGGCTGCCTGGGGGGGCCCTCTATCAAACAGAGTTAGGAGGAGTCCCTTCGAAGTTGAAATTGTTGAGTTATAATTATTTCTTTTAGTATTCCTTGTGTGGTACTTCCTTAGATATGATCGCAGTACAGAATCTAACGCTGCAGCAAAGGCCTCTGCTGCTGCGCGTCGCGTTGATAGCCCCTGCTGCAGTGTAGGTATTCTCTAGTTGAGCTCTTCTCTCACTGATAAATGCAGCTTTAGACCCATTTACTAAGTGTGGAATTAAGGGCATGGGCAAGAAGGACAGATTTAATTCAGTCTACAGTGTACTGCAGAGGAGACAAAATCGACTAGAGTGCCGAAGAGCAGCTTACCTATCTCCTGTCCTATCTCCTGTCTCTAGGGATCCTAGAGACAGCAGCACAAAGATATGGGCTGATGAGGGAAGGCGGCCTGTCGCGAGCTTCATCATTCCTTGCTGCAACTATTGCTACGGCGGAGTCTCACACACGAGTGCGCTAGCTTGCTAATTGATGCACTTATGCTCTAGGCACGTTCTAAACGCCTACACGGCTCTTAGTATCCAGGCTGCAAGCAACTAGAAAATCCGTCCCAACATAAGGCACGCCTTGTAACACTTTGTAACACTCCGTTTCTGTGCTGTAGCGAAGGAGACCGGCCAGTCCACCGATGTACCTGCAGCAGATGAGAGGCGCGCTACAACTGCTACGAGAGGAACAGTCGTCTATGAAAGCACAGAAGTGTCCGTCGTTTCACGCAAAAAATTCGGTTTTTAGTGTATCACGTCTTTGTGCCCATTTGATCTAAATGTGTGTAGAGTCGTGCTGCGTAGCCGGCAAGTCCACGATGCAACTGTTTCTTATCGAAGTCTTGAAAACTGTTCAGGCATGTATATCGGGGATTGGGGCCAACGTTAAACAGAAACATGCCTGCCACACAAGTAGAGCCGACACTGCTTTTCCTGCCAGCAGGCCATGTAGAGCTTCATCCAGCGTAGCGGCTACTTCTGCTCTTTCCTTGGAACGCTGCGGGCAGTACGCAATTGTTCGGTGCTTTATCCTAGAGCTGTCAGCTTGCAGAGGATACGTTAACCCAACGGCCGGGTCATTGGAGGCGGTTGCTAAGAACAAGGCTTTTTCGAAACCAGGGAGAACAAGCACAAGAGAGTATCTGAAGTCGCTGATGAGGCAGCTAGTGACTTCTCCGCTCTTTTTAGAAAATACGGTCTTTTCCCTACTTAGTTTGATCCGCCCGAAAGAAATCGATGCAAACGAATCCAAAGGTAAAGCTGCAGTACTATTAGGGGGAGACAGAGGAGCTTCTGAACGTCCGTGCAAGTGTAACGGGACTCCAAACCAAATGGCTCTTGACTCCCCCAGATATGGTTAGATACTCCTGCTGCAGTGAAACGAAAGCCTAGGAGCATTACTGCTTAAACGTTAGATTTCAACGATGTAGGTGCACGGGAAGGCGCAATTGCTCTAAGTGCTGCACATTCCTGCTGGACCCAAGAACCTTGTCAATATATGCAACCACCCAGCTCTCATTAAGCCCAAATAATCGTGCTTTACCTGTTAATTACGAGCGCGGAATGCGTGCAGGCGTATTCTACCATGGCACAGTCCTCGTGCAACGCATTCTTGTCCCTGTCGCCGACACGTACTGGTTTGTGCAAAGCGCGTCAGTAGAGTCAAAATGACTGGTGAATCTTGCAAGCGTTCAAGTAATTTTTTGATCTGGTGCATCAGCTGCTATTTCGCCGTGAGGTTGGTGGAGGGCTTGAACCACGCGCACATGCACCTCACCGCGCCCTTTCCCGTCACTAGCACCAGAGTGTCTGCAAACACTCCCGTCGAGGGTTGTAATTTGTCTATTCGTCAACTAGCCTCTCAACTTCCGCTTCAAGATGTGGCCTGGCCTGTGCCCCGGAACAAGCCATCGGGTGCAAGTTGGATGCGGCGCATTGGGGGTCCACAAGGTGACTGGTTGGCAGCTCCCTGTATAAGCATAGCAAATTGCTTTTCCTTCCCCCCTAACACCTTCTGAAGCTCTTCAGGAGTACACTGAATCGAATCTTTTATAGGCTCACCGTTTTTAAAGCCACCAGAACGATGTTCCTGCAGTTTTCCGTCGTTTCCTGAAGCGGCTGTGCGCTGCTCGTTTCGTCGTAGGGCATTGATTCCACAATTGTCGGCGTATCGGGAGGGAATGCTGTTGGAAGCGTTAGGAGCTGCAATCTCCCACTTCTTTTTCTGCGCAAAATCCCCTTTAGTTTCGTCTGGAGGCCACATTTGCGCCGTCCACCGTATTCCTCACGCGATGCACAGGATCATATGGTGGTGAGGCGGCCCAACGCAGCAGCCGCGTATCCCTAATACTAGGAGCTGTTTCTAAATTACTCCAGTATTTCACGTTCAATGTTTGATTATCGATTCTCAGAAGAAGCGGTGTCGGAGAAGCTACGCGCTAATGCATCAACAGTTTGGTCAAAGTTCTTCCCTAGATTCAAATATCAGATCCACTTGGTCCCAGAAGCCATGCAGGGCCATCTCCAAGGCCACAGCAACAGCCTCACACCCAGCCCCAAGCTGGTCCCGGCTGGCGAGCACTCTGATCCTATTAAGCTGCCTTTCTATCTAAAAGTGCCATAATCCCTGAAATCTTCTACATTGTTCATTCTTTTTCATGATATTAGGCCTCTAGAGGCCACACCAGAGATCCATTGTGTGCACTACACTCCCTGCCCAATTCGCTGGAAGCCGTCTACTGTCGTTTTTTGTAGTTTTGTGAGGGAGATCGCATCCACAGCGCCAGTTTTCATGGGCTCGATATCGGGCTCTCTATCTGAATACTTTCCCAAGCTTTTTTCCCCTTCTGAGCTAGGATCGTGGAACTGGCGTTTTTCTTCTGGCGCGTAGCTACTCAATCATCTCGTTGAGTTTTACACTTTCGTTCCTTTTTTGACTCTCCGCGGTACAGCCAGCTAGGGGTTCCCTCTGCAGGGGAATACCCGTACTGTAAGCCGTTGATATAGAGGTTCCGAGTCCATTGTGGGAATCCAACTTCTCGTTCTATCGGGAGCTTATTGCTGTATGCTGTTCCCTTGGCGACGTGGGGATACATCGTAGCACATCCTGGCGAGCTTCCACACTCCGGTTTGCTCCAGGGAAATGGTACCACTACCTGGATAGAGTCGTACGTTTCATGCATATTCCTTTAATACGTGAGATGCCAACAGCAAGCCCAGCTATGCAAATGCATTTCGGAGGTGAAAGAGCACCTCCAGCGAAGCAAGAAACTCCCGTATTGTCCAGCATACAGGCACGTGCCCTATTTGGAAGCCGACACAGGTGGAGGCATTATTTCTGAATTGTTTGGGTAATAAACGAGATTCTGAGCTGGGCCACAGCTCTCGTTGTAATGCGGTGAAGCGCTCATTGGCTTCTTTCTCGCCGGTGGGCATATCCTGGCAAATATCCATAACAAACGAGAGAAAGAGGCCCGGTCTAGACCAGATATTCAACGGGGGAACCACAAGCTTTTTTTCGGGAAAAACGCCATCTCGACTAGTCAGTAGTACACCCCCAGTAGGCCGGCAGTTAGGTTGCGGTTCGTATCGTGCGCATCCCATTCATAACCATGCAGTGCTGCTTAGTGTAATGATAGTCGTCCATCTTAGGCGAGGGCTGTCGTAACCTGCAGTAGGGCCGAAATACTCGAAGTAAGACCCACCGAAGAGCAGCTGGCCTTTCCTTCAGTCTCTAGGGCCTGGTAAAAATGAGGAGGCAACCTGTTACGGTCCGCAGCATTCCTTGCTGTAGATCATTCTGCAAGGCGTTCTCACGCGTAAGCACACCCAAAACCACTTTTGATGGTTGCATTAACACCGCATTCAACTGCTTGGCACTGTCCTACGTATCAATAGTGCAAGTACCAGTGCATGTGCACTTTTAGATAGACTAGGCTCAGCACTGGATCTTTTGCTTCTTTGGGGGTAAGCCTGGAGGCAGAGAAACCGCCACTCATATGGCTTTGGCTAACAGCAAGAACGCAACCAACTTGTCAATACTGAATGTGTACAGTATTGCTGCGGACTATGGTGTAGGACGAAACCAACGAAAGCTCTGAACGATAGAGGCAGCCAACAGGGATCACATGCTGAACCGTTTACACCGTTTCCAAGGCGTTGAATGCCACAGTGTTACCTCCCTGTCGGAATAACTGAATCCTGCACAGGCCATGTATATGCGAGGGTTGAGTACGTAGAGGCAGCCCTCAGCCGGCTTCTTAACCCAAGTGGTGCCTCACGAAACGAAAAACTGGACTCACATTATTGTGTCTATAATTACACGGGCCACACTGGTCTACACATTTATGTTGTAAGGGGGCTGGTACATACTGGAGCGCCCCTGCATTCTTCAGGTAAGGATAGACCGTAGAAGGCAGTGGCGGCTTCTGCATGCCTCGTGGGCCATCATAAAACCATTATACAACTGTCAATTAAGTATGAAGTGCATTTTGGTCTTCTGAATAGGGGAAAAATGCATCGCAGCCTCCTTGCGCCCCCCACCCTTGGGCGGTAAGTCGACGCATGAGGAGAGGAAGGAGAGGAAGGCGACTGCTGTTTTTCCTTGTGACAGTCATATTTTAATATGCGAAATACACTTTCATAAATGGTATTCTTCAGAAGTTTGTTTCGCTTTCGGTAGCCGATCGCAGCTGCATGATGCCGTCGGCCGAGGACTGAATGCGCCGCTGCTGCTGCGTGCCGCATGCGCGTTCTCTTCTGATGAAAAGCGTCTGATTTGTTGCATGTCCTTTTGGGAAACACTTTGGCATCTGCATTGGCGCGCTCCGGATCGTGTTGAGGCCTTTGCTGTTCAATTTGCGCTCTACTCTCAGCCCTCCCAGCAGCGAACTGGGACAGGTGTCTCATTGCCTAGCCCAGGCACAGCAGCCAAGCAAGCAGCCCCCAATACACAGGAGGACTGTCGAGCGGACGCACAGAAACTAGTGCTTGTGGCGGCTCATCCCGTTGCACTGCTGCAGAGCGCAGCGGTTCCTGCGGCTGCTGCATCGGCGTCTGCTTGGGCTCACAGCTCCCGCTAGGCTGCTGCTTCTTATCTGCACGCACGTTTCTGAGGCTGCACAGTGCTGCCTCTCAGGCGCATCTGCAGCAGGGAGACATACGGGGACTTCCGGGGTTGCAGAGACGGCTGGGGGGGGGCCTGGTCTTTTAAGGTGTTTTCCTTTTAGCTGCAGCAGCATGCGAGCGGTTTGCGTTGAGTGGTGCGGGAACTGAGGGGTTGCTGCTTTTGCAGCCGTCAGTTGCTTGCATCTCGGGTGTATTGACAGACGGCGTGCATGCAAGTGTTTAGGGGGAGGCGGCCATGCCCTCACATCAGAGAGAAAACAGATCTCGCGCTGCAGATGCGCAAAGACGGGATACTTCTGCTGCTGCTGCTTCCGGCTCTAGACAATCTCAGGACTCTTCTGCCTTCAGGGGCAGCGTGGCTCGCAGCCACAGCATAGAGCCCTGGGACACCGCGGAGACTGGCCGCAACAAGCGAGGTGCTGCAGCAGGACCTGCTGCAGCAGCATCAGCAGCAAGTGCAGCTGCCTCTGGCAGCAGCAACAGACGTGAAAGCAGGAGGAATCGTCATGGAGCTGCAGCTGCCCCACCCGCAGCCGATGGAAGCAGCAGCAGCAGCAGCAGCGGGATAGTGAATTATTCAGGCGAGTCGCACAAACGTGCTGCGGGCGCCGGGACCCACGGAAGCAGCACCAACAGCAGCAGCAGGCAGCAGCATGCGAGCGGGTCTGTGGGGCAGCGGCGCAGCAGCAACGTGAGTCAGGGGTCGAACTGCTCTGAGGAGGCAGAGGAGGAGGAGGCGACGTGTCCACTCTGTCTAGAGACGCTAGACGAGACAGACAGGGGTCTCTTCCCCTGCGAATGCGGCTACCAGGTGGGCTGAAGTGTATTTTTGTTTTCTCATCATACTGTTTTAGCTAGTGGGTTGCTGCCTTGGTGTCCTGGCGGCAGCAGTGAGAACAGGGGCAGCGCTCGTGTGCGACTCCGTTTGCCGGCGAGCCCTTGACGCTGCTGGTGCTGGTGCTGCTGCATTTGCTGCACCTCCTGCTTCTGCGTGTGTGTAGGTGTGTCTTTGGTGTCTGCACCACATACGGGATCACTTGGCGAACAAGTGCCCGGCTTGTCGCCGCGACTACGACGAGAAGAAGTTCAAGTATGACCAGACGAAGGTCTTGGAGTGAGTTTCCGCAGCAGCAGCAAGACTGCAGCAGCTGCAACGGCGACAGCAGCAGTAGCAGGAGGGTGCTGCAGACAGGCGGACACGAGATGCATGCTCACGGACACAGGGAAAACCGAGCTCGGTGGACGCGCATCAGTTAGCACCATCGTGATGCATATAGACAACGCATTGGTTCTGGTAGTATTGACTGCTGTTCGGTTGCTGTCTGCTTTTTCTAGTCGCTGAAAGGAACTGAGGGCAGCACTAGAAAGTAGCTGAATGAGCGATGCTGCCAGTGCGTGCGCTGGTGGTGCTGCTCAGACTGACCAAACAAATAGGGCGCAAGTCAAGAGACAAGTTCTGTGGAGCCTCGGACCCAACGAGGAGCGGGAGCAGCGGCGGCGGAAGCAGCAGTAGCAGCAGTAGCAGCAGCAGCAGCAGCAGCAGCAGCCGCTCCGCCGGCGTCTCTGGAGCATCAAGGGGAGGCGCCACGGGCGGCAGCTCCACATCTGCCCACGGCAGCAGCAGCAGAAACGCTGCAGCGCAGCGGCAAGCATCAGGGGCTAACCGTCGAGGCTCCCGTGATACTGCAGCTCCAGCACCTGCACAAGCGGCAGCACTGAAGGACGTTCGCGTGATTCAGCGCTGCTTGGTTTACGTTATCGGCATTCCCCCCTCAATTGCAAAGAAGGAGGTTCGTTTACACTGCCTGAAGTTTAGGTTTTGGGTTTAGGGTTTAGGGTTCATCGCTCGCTTACAAGGGGAGCAGCAACTAATTCCCAACGCGTTCAGCTTGATGTTGTTTGCTTGCACAGGGCAGCTGTTGGTTCTTGCACGCTGTAATTACACCATGGGGTGTCTCCTTTGTGAGGCAGTTAGCTGAGCGGCCTTAGCGAGCTGTCTCTCATTGGGTGTGTTTGCGGTGTATGTAAGGGGGTTTAGGGGAGAAGCTGCGTGTGCAGCGTGCATGCGTTTTTAGTGGGCTTTTTCTTCTAGGGGCTTTTCGGGCGGTTTGTGCTGGCGTTGTTTTGCAGATTTTGCGTCGTCACGAGTTTTTTGGGCAGTACGGCAAGGTTCTTCAGATTGTCGTGAATAAAAACCAAGGGTCCGTTCTGCTGCTGCTGCTGCTTGCTGCTGCGGGTGTCTCGACGCTGTGTATGAGCGTATTGGTTGGCCTTGGTGTGTTTTGCTGCTTACCTGTTTTTGGGCTGTTGACGAGGATGCTGCTGCTGCTGCTGGTGATGCTGGCACGGCTTTAGGAAGCAGCGGGGTGTGGGGTGTACGTATGTTGCAGTCACTGGGGGGGGCCGTCGTTTGCAGTGTACGTTACGTATTCTTCTAGCAAAGAGGCGATAGCGGCGATTCAAGGGGTGGACGGCGCGGTGTACGAGGGGCGGACCTTGAAGGCCTCCTTTGGCACCACAAAGTACGCTCCAGCAGCAGCCAGCAGCAGCGTTAACAGCAGCAGCTACCACGGGGGCTGCAGAGCCCCGACGAGCGCGATTAGAGCGCGCTGCAGCTGTTACAGCAACAGAAGCTCCTGAACAGCTAACACTTTGCGCCACACATTTCTATACAGAGGAGGGGGCAGCCTGCATAATGCTGCAGGTAGTCGCGTGCCTCCCGCGACTGTCTCAGCTGTTTCCGAGTCTCATCTTTAGGTTCTGTTCCAAATATGAAATAAATATATTTGAGTATATCAATAGGTGCATATATATATATATATATATTTATACATATATATGTAGGGTTGGATTTCGGGGTTCTCTTTGCCGGCGTTGCGTGTGCTGAGTGCAGGTACTGCTCGCACTTCCTTAAGGGTGTTAAGTGCCAAAACCCCGACTGTTCGTATCTGCACCAGCTGGGATCTGGAAAGGACAGGTCTGTTGCTGCCCCGGAGTGCTGCTTGTGGCGCCTCGTGTCTGTTAGGGGCCCACTGTTCTTCAGCTGTAGCGACGGGAGGGGCCCGCCAGCTGCAAAAGCTGTCTCAATCCTGCGCTGCTGCCTGGCACTTGTGTCTTTGCTGCTACTTCTGGCTCTGCTGCATTCGGTGCATTTGCTGCTTTTGCTCCTTCTGCTGCATTTGCTGCAGCTTCACCAAGGAGGCGATGATTAGCGCGAAGCACCAGTTCCTCGACTTGACGATACCCAGCAATTCCGAACGAAAACAAACGGGGAGTCTCTTCGGAAAAGTGCAGGATGCGGCAGCCCGCAGCAGCAGCAGTGGCGGCGGCGGCGGCAGCGCGCACAAGGAAGACAAGGAGGTGAGGGGCGCTCTCGTGTGTATTGTTCAGCCGCGGATTTATCTCTCTGCCCTCTGAACGTTTATCACAGACGCGTTAGAGTCGAATCTCTTCCTTGTATTAATATTTACATGTGTATTTATATATTTATATCCGTATATGCATACGTATATATCAATATATATACATAAGTATATCATTATATAGGTGTGCGCGTTCGCCTATGTATATTTGTGTGCACTGTTGGGCTGTGCATGGAGTTATCTTTGTTTCTTTGGTCTATACTTGGCGGGTAGAGCGCAATGAGGCCTTTTGGTGCTCTGTTCTGTTGACTTTTCTCTCAGGCTTACGGAGACACGGCAGCACCGTACGTCGTTAGAGCTCACAAGTGGACAACTTTTTTGTCTCTTGCTTGCTTCGCTGCAACGCCGTCGGGCTGTTTTCTGACAACGCTGCCCCACTACGTGCATGCATTGTGCATGCATTTTGTGGGGGGGTTCTATTTTCTTGCTCAGTTTGGCGTATTGAACTTTGCGCAATGTACAGCCGCGGGCTGAGAGCGGCTGAGTACGTGAGCTCCCGTGTGTTGCTGCTGCTGCTGCAGGAACGGAGCAGTCAAGGGGGGAGGCAGTGAGAGCGACGACTCGGACGAATTCTCTTCGGCTGCATCCCCATCGGGAAGCGCAGCCAAAGGCGGAGCAGCACTTGCAGCAACAACACCGGGTGTTGCATCTGCTGCTACGGCTTCTTCCGTCGCAGCAGGACCAGCAGCTGCTGCGGAAGGCGAGGAGGCGCACACCACCGTCGGAGCCAAGTCAAGAGCAAAACCCCAGTCTACTTGCTGCAGCACCTGGGCCTCAGTTGCAGCAGGAAGTGTCAAGCCCAGTGCTGCTGCAGCAGCAAATGCAGCAGGCGCAGCATCTGCTCGAGAGGTAAGTCCCAGTGGTAGCGCTGCCAGCGGAAGCCAACGGCAGCAGCAGCAACAGCCGCCGCAGCAGCGGCAGCATCAACAGCAACAGCAAACGCAGCAGCAGCAGACGCATCCGGCGCAGCAAACGCAGCATGCGGCTTCCCCTCGTGCTGCAAGCGCGCCACCTCGACAGAAGCAGCACGAGCAGCAGCAGCAGCAACAGCAGCATGAAGCGGAGGAACAGGAGTCAGAAGATGAAAGAGGTGACAGAGAAAAGAATAGAAGGCGGCTGTCTAGCGAGTGCTCCTCCAACACAAGCGAGGAGAGGAGTGCAGAGGATGCTTCGTCTGCTCCTGACTGCTGCACAGCAGAAGGCCCTGGGGTTGCGGCAGCCCCCACAGTGGCTGGGAGTGATGCTGGTGGGGGAGCCGTTGTCCCTGAATCAGCTGCTGCGAAGTCAGAGGAAACACAAAAGCCAGTGGCTTCCGAGAGCCCCACAGATGACAGCAGCTATCACCAACCGCAACAACAACAACAGTCGCCGCCGCCGCAGCAGCAGCAGCATAAACCACCAGAGCAATCGGATATTACTGAACAGCCCACAGGCTGGCCACCGCTGCATGTAGATTTGCAGGCGGTGGCTGCAGGCCGTCAAGGGGCCCCTCTCGATCCACTTGGGTCCAGTTGGGTTCCCGCTGTTGCTGCTGCTGCTGCGCCTGGTGCTGGTGTCAGCGAGTGCCCGCAACAGCTGCATACGTTGCTTCCAGCCCAGCTACAGCAGCGCCTAGTGCAGCAAATGGAGCAGCAGCAGCGACGCTTTGGCGGCCTGCAGCTTGAGAGCAACACAGCGCAGTTGATTGGTCTGGAGTCATCTTCCTTCTCAGCAGAACAGCTCATGCAGCAGCAACAGCAGCAACACCAACAACAGCTACTGATGCGTCTCTATGCGCCGGCCTGCATGGCTCCCGCAGCGGACAGTGTGGGGCCCGGAGGTGGCAGGTTTGGCCCGCCTCCAGGCCTCGAAGCAATGGGGGGACCCAAAAGGTTTGGCGGGATCAGCAGCAGCAACAACAGCAGATATAACTTCAGCAACGGCGCATTTGATGCCTCGGGCAATCTTCTTGAACAGCTGGGTGTTGCTGCTGGCGCTGCTAGTGTGCCGTTTGCTGGGGTGCCGGTAGCCGCATCTTCCAGCAGCAGCGGCAACAGCAACAGAAACAACAGCAGTTCTTGCTTTGCCTTTGCGGCTAGAGGGGATGACGACGAAGAGGCAGTGTTTGAGATTCCTGGGATTGAGGATTGCGTGCAGTGGCTCGCAACCCCCAGCACAGCTGCAGTGGCTGCAGCTGCAGAAAGCCAAACGCCGGCAGATCATCTCCACCAGCAGCAGCAACGGCAGCAGCAGCAGGGGGCTCTTCTTCCCAACACGGAACGGCCGTCTCTCTTGAATACAGGTGGTGGGCAGGAGCAAGTACCTGCGCCGATCGACGGAAGCTGGGCGCAACGACAGCAGCCGCAGCAGCAGCACAAGGATTTCGTCTTTGGGCCTGGTGGGGGGATAGCTTCGCTGCCTACACTACAGCAGCAACAGCAGCAGCAGCGCCACCCCGCAGACTGGTGGCGAAGCTTCCAACACTCTCCACCGATGATGCAGCAGAAAGCTGACCTCAGTAGCAGCGCCGGCGCTGCTGCTGCTGCTGCTGCTGCCTTTAATCGTCTCGATTCGCAGAGTTCCCGTAGGGCAGGCGGGTGGAACACCCGCGACGCTTTTATTGGACACGAGCAGCAGCGACAGCAACAGCAGCAGCAGCACCACATGTTGCAGCACGAGCATCTGCAGCAACTTCTTCGTCAGCAGCAACAGGGGGTTCTACAACAACACCAGGCGCACACCCGAGTGCGGGCAGCAGGGGCCCCAACGGAGCAGCAGCTCCATCAGCAGTCGCAGCTGGTGCTACAGCAGCAAGAGCAGGAGCGCCAGCTAGCTCTGCTACACCAGCTAATGCCTACACAGTCCGTTGGTCGTGGGGCCACGGATGATCCAGAAGAGGCGATGAAGCTTTTGCTGTCTCTCATGCCCAACACCCTTGATCAGACCCAACGAATGGCTCCGCTTCCGCAGCAGCAGCAGCAACAGCAGCAGCAGCAACAGCACTTGAGGTACGGCGACAGCACCGCCCCCAGCTTCCCCATCAGTGCGTCTGGGAGTCGCAACGCCGATGCTCTCGCTCGCCTATTGGCGGCAAGGGGAGGGTCTGCGTCGGCGCTGCCTCGAGGTCAAGTGGGGGCAACTGTGGGTCCCCTGGGCAGGGCTGTGGTGGAGGCCCACGACGGCAATTGGGGGGAACCCGTTTCAGCAGCAGCAGCAACAGCAACTGCAGCTGTTCCTGACAGCGGCCACGGCAGATCGGCCCCTCGCAAGCGGTCTGTTTCCTCGGCGGACGTCGAAGACAGAGGCGGTGGACCGGCCTGTGGGTTCTACTCTCAACTGGGGTCGCACATGCCGGAGCTGCAACAGTTCCCCCCAGGCGCAGATGCCCGCGGGAGCCCCACGGGGCCCCCGGGGCCCCCCGGGGCCCAAGGGTCGCCAGGGGGCCTCTCTGAGGCGGATTCCGTGCCACCCGTAGGCGTTCCACCGTCGCTCCCATCTGGAAACGATTTGCTGCCATTCCTACAGGGACGGAGAATGCAACAGATCCCGCAGCAGCAGCTGCAGCAACTTCAGCGAGCTCTCGAGTCTCAACGGCTGGAGTGATAAGCAGCAGCTGCTGTTGCTGTTGATGGAAGAAGAAAGAACGTATGCGAGGATGCGGGCCGTAAGCTCGGGAGATTCGGCGCCGGGGAATGCGTGGAGGGGGGTGTGACGTAACTTGGTGGGTCTTGTTCTTTGCGGCGTTCTGAGTTGTCATAATTTCGGGGGTTGGACAAGAGGAGGGGGTAGGGTTGCTTCTCACAGGAGGGGGACCTGGCGGTTGTTGTGGCTACGCTGCAGCACCTGTTGCTGTACAGACACCCGGGCCTTCGAGGCCGCGGCTAGCTCGCTCGATGGCTAGCTGAGGTCAACTGCACGGGAGGTAATACGCCGGAGGCCTGGGGCTTTGCCCAGACTGTGGCCGGAGGCGCCGACGGTCTTACATCTAAGATTGTGAAGGGCGAGGCCTGTTGGGGCAGCAGAGCTGTGCCGTGTTGTTTTAGGGGACATATAGACCTGAGAGTGGTCCCCTACAAGGTACAAGCTCTTCTTTTTAAGGAGCGGTTGCCGGGGGTTGGGCGAGTGGGGTGTGCGTACACCACACGCCCTGCACTCCCTAGCAGCCTGTTCTGCGGCTTCCAAGGGTGAAGCTGCCTCCCCCTCTACTCGAGAGCATATGTGTTGATGAATGGGTGGACAAGCAGAGCACGTGCGTGAGTAGACAAAGGGGACTCGTCACGTGCGCCTGTGCTTGCTCCAAATGACCCCAGGGCTTCTCAGGACAGCCCTATGCATGGCTGCATGCCCGCATGCACATAAGCGTTATTGCATGGTTTTGCAGCCGTGGCTGAGAGGAGCAAGCCATTGCCACCGAGGAGACTCCCCGTGCCTTAAAATAATGCAGATCTTTGTGCTGAAGGAAATCACTTCAGTGACAGCATGTATTTAGTTCCAGACGCATACAGCAACCGTTTTGTGGTGCACCGAATCATGGCGTTTAACTTGACCTCTTCTGAGTGGGCTGGTGCTAGTTTTACAGCTCCTCTCTCTCTGTGCGTGTCCCCTGCCGGCACCAGCCAGCACCTCACAGTACCATTTACAGCAGGAAGGCCCCGTCAGCGTTCAGAGGTGCTGGATGCACCGGCGAAGGATATTGTAGTTACCTCTTGTATGATAGCTAGTTCGGACACACTGAGGAGTGCTGGAAGTAGGGATAGCACACGCCCTCAACGGTTGCGGAAGGGTCGCAGGGGAGCTGGTGCAGGTGCTGCAGCATTTCGTTGCACCAAGCCACACAGAACGGATGAACAGTAGTTACGTGGAAGAACAGAGTTGGGGTTGCCAATTGAAAGAAGTAAACAAACAAGAGCTGTTGACACACACAACCATCTTGGGAAGGTGGCGTATGCGTTATACCATACTGCTGCTAGAAACATGGTGAGGGAACACTGCGTGCTAAGCTTAAAGCTTGCAATCTTTTTGGCTGAGGCAATTCATTGTGGTTGAGTAAAGACGTGGAAACGAGATTGTGACATTCTCGGCAATGTCGCTAGGTGCTTCAGAGGAGCTCTAACCGTGGCGAGCTTGCGAAAGAATCCCCGTTCACGCTTCAGCATCCCAGCTACCTACGCATGCGAAGGCTTCTGTGAAAACCCGGTTTCCCTCTGCTAAGAGGGAACTGCATTTTGTATATATGCATAATGAATGCATCTGTTCTATATATGTAGGAGTTCGGCAACGCTCCTCCAGAGTTTTCAACTTGAGAGGGATGGATAGAGCTTCATCCGTTGCCATTGTGGCTGGAGCTGGTACTTGCATCCGCCCATCTCTACAGGACATGGGTTTGAGCGTTAAAAGCACGAGGCCTAGAAATGCGTTTTTATTAAGACAACCGAATTCTCACTTACTATTAAGACAACCAAATTCTCAAGGACATTGCAGGCGCGGTCCAATTTATCAATATTTGCCAAATGAAGTCATTCGCTTGAGCTTTCGGTGCAGTGGGCCGTCGGCGCCGAACACTTCTTGCATTAACACGGTACCAAATTCGCAATGTCCTGGTACTGGCGCTATGATAAGCAATACTCCAAATTCATTTTTCGCAGCCGCAGTTTTACTTTGCTTCCAGTTTGTTCAAGCTCTGTGTTTTGTGTGTGTGTGTGTGTGTGTGTGTGTGTGTGTGTGTGTGTGTGTGTGTGTGTGTGACCGCTCGGTATTGCAGATATGCATGAGGCTAACTGCAGTTGTTTGTGTTTTAGATGTATGCTTGGTAGGTTTAAAAAATACTTGGTAGGCTGTGGAAACAGGCTTTCTGGGGGCCAAACCTCTGCGATGTAGAGTGCCTGCATACGGCCACTGCTGTCTTTTTGCCATATTGAAGGAGAATCAAGTTGTTGAGGAAGATATCATTTGGCAGGTCACGCGCATTCTTGCTTTTTGCCTCCACGGCGCCAAAGGGCCACTGGTCCACGCATCACCAAGTACCTGGCAGCGTATCCCAGCTAAAAAGTCTTACCCCGGCCTATAGATCCTTATTTTCACTCACAAAATACTTCTTCATTGTAGATTTTGTGACGGTTTCGGCCTCTTCAATAACTATCAATAGGAAGACACTCTGCAGTTCACGGGTCACTCACCCTTCACTAACCTGATTGCATCGCAATGGCTGGCGCAGTTTCTCAGCCCCAAAAAGCAGAAAACTAGAAGGATATTGGCTTTCAAAAAGCGGCACCAAAAGAACAATAAATTGTTTTAGCATGAAGTATATCCTCTTGTTCGGTACCTGCCCCCCCCCAGCGAGGCCGACTCGCCGTGTGTGCATACTCTGGTATGTAGGCATTCGAGAGTGTGGCTATCTGCCCTGCTTTTCACATCTGACTTTGAACTTCTTGGCCATTGGCATCGCAGCGTTTGCCGTTTATTGGAATAATGGATATATTTTTCCGGTTTTTTTCTCTTGTTGCTGTCGTATTTCTCGGCGCTGGTGCCTCGACACAGCGTCACTCTAGTGTCATCCGCATTGCGTGCATTGCAGTGGATGTAGTATTGCCATTGCTGAGTTCAGGTGAAGCTGCACATCTCGAGGTTCAAATGGCTGACCACAATTCAAACACTCCACCCTCAGGGACCGGAGCCTCTCATGAAACTCACCAGCAACAGCAGCCGCCTTCTGGAGACCAGCATAGCAATCAGCCTCCCAAAGAGCCGTCAGCTGCCAATTCAGCAGCACACATGAGCTCAGAAGAGGCAACAAATCAAGCAGCTCTCGATGACCTCAGACAGCATGGCACTCAGATGAGCAAGGCGGAGAGAAAGCAAGCAGAGGATTACATGAGGGCGAAATACGGGGCCACAAACCCTGAGCCGCCAGCTGATGAGGCGCGGTAGACTACTCAGCACTGAGGTAAAGGCACTCCGGAACTGCTTGTACAGCTGAGGGGAGTGCCTTTTCGTAGCCACCATCCACCTTGTAGCCATCGCATTCTCCCTGTATCCAATGGGGGTTCCTCTTCTTCGTGGATTGTGGGCGTGCAATATCTGGCAACTGCACATCCTTTTTTCAGAATTTGTGGAAACAGTTCCATTCATGGGAGGACAATAGCATCCCCGCCACAAGCCTATTGCTAGCACAGCCAGTCTCTGAATATATCTTGAGTTAGGGGTTCACGGGTCGATCAAAGTAAAGCAAAAAAGCGGCGCCTAGCTAATGCAGCGAATCCGTTTACTTGACATGCTGACATATGCAAGTTTTCGGGTTGAAGTTAGCTCGACAGGAACAAGAAGGTGTGCTGTACCCACCTCGGATAGAAACTGCTGCATTATTCCTGTAGATAATACACAATGCGGCTACAATGTGCATGCAGAACGCCGATAGCTGCCTGGCTAGCCAAACGCCTGCTACAGGCTTCAGCTCGACAGCCTAGGCTGGGGAAAGTGCTTGGCTAGCCGTCCACTGTGATGTTCTGAATCTTACACGCTGCCAGTGCGGTAGTTAGTAGCTGCCAAGTCCCTGCATGCTAGAAATATGATGGGCTCAGTCACCCACCACCTGTTGCTGCTAAGCTGCAGTGTCGCCTAGCTGCGCTGCTGTGGTGTCAGAGGCACCGCCCTCTACGTCATCTCCCTCAGGTGCTAGCAGCCGAGTATCTGGAAGCTCAACTCCGAACGTAGCCTTGCACTCGCTACGGAAACTGTCCAGTTGTAGCTCCTGCAACAGGCGCTCTGTAGGGACTATGTACAGAATGTCCTGTAGGTTCACCGCAAAAGTGCATATACATAGGCAGATATATTGTGGACGCATGTACATGCATATATATATATATATATATATATATATATATATACAAACTCACCCCTTCGCCGGCCGCTGACTGCCTTCGCTTTACCATGATATACTTCAGAGACTCGCATTCGGACAGCAGATCTCCGAGAGACTCGAGGTCTGTACATACAGAAGGACGCAACACCTGGAGCACTCTGCAGAGAGGCAGGCTCAGCGGTGCGACCTGCAGTCTGCATATCATGAAAAGGGCAAGCATTAATAAGCAGGGACGATCGCTTGTGTCAGCCGTCTCCAAGAGCGAACAAAATTATATATGCACTTTGACTGCTTACTATGAGATGGCTCTCTGAAGTGGACTGCCTTGAGCAGTGAAACCTCTGCAGGGCAGGCAGCGGACGCGCTCAAGAGGGAAATCATTCTTAAGGAGGGAGGATTTTACTGTAGGGCCCATCAGCACTTGCACCACTGAAAAGAATAGTGCAAACCGGGCGGAACAACTGCCACCAGTGCGTCCTATTAAATGAAGAGAAGGTGCAACAACCCCAGAGCGGCCTCACCGTCAAAACCTTGCAGTAGATCTTGTCGGCCCACCAGGCGTATGCTGGCCTTTAGTGCCTCTAAAGGCAACTCCGCCTGATACGAGAGTAATTGCAGACTGAGAAAAAGCAGGAACCCCCGAATCTCCTCTTCGCCTGCACCGCAAGAACCCGAGGATGTGCAACAAGGTGCAGAACGTCGAAAACAACATAAAGGGACGACAGGGCCACACGGAACATAAAACCACAAAGAAGTCCAGTTGACGATGAAGGAAATGCACGAAAGCACTAGCTAACTGTTCATCCATGGAGAAATTTGAGAAATGTGTGTAAGTAGGGCTTAAAACACGGCTACGACCAGATCCCTCATCCGCCATGGCGGAAAGAGAAGAGCAGCCCTTTTCCTCAGCCAATGCCAACTCTTTGCAGTGTGAAAATCCGCCTGTGACCCTCCCCCTTTCGCTTTCATGGAACACAAAAACAAGGGTGCAGTGCATGTTTTAACGTGGTAGAGAGTCCCGCCAGCGATGCATGCTTTGAAGCCTCAGTTCAAACTATCTCGTTCGCTCATCGCTTCTAGCTACTCATGCACTGAGGGGCGTATTTCAAGCATCTCTGCGATGCCGTTCTGACAGATGACTGCCATGCTAGTAGTCTGCCTTTCCGAAAGAATCCACGACAAAAGAACAGAAGGATAACCGAAGGCCACACTTTGTGGTGGCTTGCAGCCGGATATACACCTTCTGTATAAAGGTGTGTCTACCAAAGTATATATATATATATATATATATATA